TATTCACCCCGAGATAAATTGGGATGATATCCTAACATTTGTGGCTTAAACCAGGAGTTTAGGAATTATCAATGGATTTGAGTAGTATCTCCTAAATCGGTGACTCACTATGTCAGATTCCGAATATCTACAACCTCAATGAGTGATAGATGGAGCTCAAACGTAGACTAACAAACAGTCTACGCAATGATCGTTAATAGTGGTGCGTAGAAAAAGCAAAAGAGATGGAGAAAGCATCGGCAATAGGTAACAGTAGACAACTCTTCAAATTCATCAAGTGAATAGGTATCAAAAATCCGGTTGTTAGTGAGATGGTCTCGGGAAAAAATGGGACTATTATTCATTCTCAATCTAGGAGATTGGATCGGTCGGCAGAAAATTTTAACGGACAGTTCAATATACTTTCGGTTAACCCGGGTGCCCCCTCCACTTTGCCCCCGAACGCCCTGGTACGGCCGAGAGTGGGGAGAGTCCGCTCTCCCTCTCGAAATACTCTCACACGGCCGCGCGTATACAGCCTCTGCCAGGGAAGTCCTACTCATTGCCTTCTCGTGGCGGGGGTGTTGTTTACGAAAATGAGAGGACGAAAAGCGAACGTCCGGCGCTTTAACCGGATCACAAACCAATGGTGCACATGGGCACCAGTATCCTGCGGGAACAAATGGCGTATGAACCAATCGTTGGTCACCGGCTACCATGGGATCGCATCTCCTCACGATGTTCCACTGCCTTGTGGGTTAGACCATTAGGTCAAAGGCTCGGGGTGTGGCCCCCTAAGATAACCACCTGCTTCGGTTTGGGCACCCGGGCAGTATCACAGCCCACACACAAACAATGAACTCTATGACTACGGCAACTAATTTCCTCTCTCCGATCAACATTCAATTGATTCAAATAATTGTTACTGTTATTGTCACTATTAATACCATTATTATTATTACCATTATTGTCATTATTGTTATTATTATTATTATTATTATTATTATTATTATTATTTTCCACATTATTCACCCTCCTTTATACTTATACAGCGGCTCGTCTATGGTGGAAATTCGACTGTATCTAAACGTTCTCGAGTCACTGTCCGGTTGAAAATTGTATGTTACCACCGATTACGAGAACTGAAGCAGTTTTTCTGAAACCACGTGCACCATTCAAACTGGCTGCCTTCAACGTTCGCACACTAGTGCAGGTCGGACAACAGATAGGGCTGGCTATGTCTTTGGAAAGTCTCAATATTGATGTTTGTTGTCTATCCGAGACCCGTATTCAAGACTCTGGCGAAGTACTACAAATTCGATCTCCATCTGTCGCTTCGAAAAGCTTGTTTCACGTGCGCTTATCCGGGGACCCTGTGGCATCTTCGTCTGGTCTTGCTGGCGTTGGTGTCGCACTAAGCGCTAGAGCTGAGGCAGCACTAGTCGATTGGATCCCCATTAACAGTCGGTTATGTGCTGTTAGATTAGAAAGTTCCATCAAAGTGAGAAGAAATCGGCGTGAGAAACGATGTCTTTTCGTCATCTCCGCCTATGCCCCGACAGATTGCAGCCCGGATGCAATCAAGGATGAGTTTTACCACCAGTTATCTGTTCTTCTCCAGAAAGTGCGTTCGACAGATATTGTAGTACTAGCCGGAGACTTGAATGCGCAGGTCGGGCGTCTAGGCACAGAAGAGAGTCGTTTAGGTGGCCGATGGGGACTCGTTGGTCGCAGGTCAGATAACGGGGACCGTCTACTGCAACTTTGCACAGACCACAACCTGTTTCTGGCTAGCACTAACTTTCGGCACAGTCATCGCCGATGTGCCACCTGGCGTCCTCCCTCTGCATCCCAAGCCTGGACTCAGATTGATCACATCGCGATCAGCTTCCGCTGGCGTGGTTGTGTAAAAGACTGCCGCTCCTTTTGGAGTACCTATCTGGACTCTGACCATGCCTTGGTCTGCGCCAATCTTGCCTTACTTTTCAGTGGACAACGAAGTGACCACCACCAAAGGATTGATATTAGCAAGCTGGTTGCAACCTCTGTTGCAAATAAGTATCGAACCGAGCTAGCTTCTAGGCTAGCTACCACTCCACCGAAAAGTATAGATGAGCATTGGTTGCAATTGCATGACGCCATGAAAATGGCGGGAACAGTCAGTTGTGGGTTTGCGAAACGTCCCGCTTATAAGCACTGGGTTTCTTCTGGTTCCTTACAACTTATTGAAGCCCGTCGGTCGACTCCGGGTGACCGTGAGTTTGACCATAAACGAAGGATGTTACGTAGGGAAATTGGGCAAAGCTTGCGTAAGGACCGAGAAGCCTGGTGGTCGGAGCGTGCTAATGAGATGGAAGCAGCAGCTGCATCTGGTAACTACCGGAAGCTCTTCCAGCTCATCCGAGCCACTGGCAGCAAGAAGTCTGGTGTGAGTGAAACAATCTGCGAGGATGATGGGATGCCAATCACTAACATCCATCGACGTCTTGGACGATGGGCAGAATTTTTCGAAGGGCAGTTCAACTGGCCTGCTGCTCCGGCAACATCGGTCAGACTGTCCTGCCCTCCATGGCCGGTGACGACTGATCCACCGAACGAGGAGGAAGTCCGCAAGGAACTCCAACTCTTGAAGCGTTACAAATCACCTGGCCCAGATGACTTACCTCCGGCTCTTTTTAAAGATGGTGGTGACTTTTTGACTAAGGAATTGACGACGTTGTTTACAAAGGTTTGGGAATTAGAGAGTGTACCAACGTCATGGAATGAGTCGATAGTTGTCCCTATCTTTAAAAAGGGTTCACGTCGTTCCTGCAACAACTATCGGGGGATAAGTCTACTTCCGATCGCGTCCAAGCTATTGGCTTCCGTCATACTTCGTAGGTTGTTCAAAACCCGAGAAAGATTGACTCGCGAGGAGCAGGCTGGGTTTCGTTCTGGTCGAGGATGTATTGATCATATCTTCACCCTCCGCCAAATGTTAGAACATCGCCATACTTATCAAAGGCCAACAATCGTAGTGTTTCTTGACATCAGGGCTGCCTTCGATTCGTTGGACAGGACTGTTCTCTGGGATTGTCTATTGAAGAAGGGTGTGCCTGAGAAGTTTATTAACATCCTAAAAGCCCTATATAAAAACACCTCAGGCAGAGTGAGGGCATACAACCACCTCTCTCCATTGTTCTATACGAGTAGTGGGGTTAGGCAGGGTTGCCTAATCTCACCATTCCTCTTCAACTTTGCCATCGATGACATTCTGGAAACAGCTCTGATGAATGTAAGTAATGGTGGTGTGGATCTGTTGCCTGGAGAAAGACTTCTCGACCTTGAGTATGCGGACGATATTGTCTTACTGTGCGATAATGCCCAAGGCATGCAATCCGCACTTAATCAGTTGGCAATCAGTGTCCGTAGGTATGGTATGTGTTTTGCACCTTCGAAGTGCAAAGTACTTCTACAAGACTGGCAGGATTCCAATCCTGTACTCACCCTGGATGGTGAGCAGATAGAAGTAGTCGAGAAGTTCGTGTATCTGGGTAGCTGCATAAGTGCTGGTGGGGGTGTGAGTGATGAGATCAATGCACGTATAGTGAGAGCCAGAGCGGCTTATGCCAATCTGGGCCACCTTTGGCGCCTTCGTGATGTTAGTCTGGCTGTAAAAGGTCGGATCTACAACGCGTCGGTGAGAGCAGTTTTGCTCTATGCTTGTGAAACCTGGCCTCTCCGAGTTGAGGACGTTAGACGACTCTCTGTGTTCGATCATCGCTGTCTCCGAAGGATTGCTGACATTCAGTGGCAACACCATGTTAGTAATGCAGAGGTTCGGCATCGTGTGTTTGGGCACAGAGATGATAATTCAATTGGTGTCACCATCTTGAAACACCGACTTCGGTGGCTTGGACATGTTCTACGAATGTCGTCCCAGAGAATTCCACGTCGTGCATTGTTTGCCGACTCTGGGACTGGTTGGAAAAAGCGGAGAGGTGGTCAGTGCATGACATGGTGTCGTGGTATGAAAGAAAGTTGCAAAGGACTGGCTTCTGTCGGTTCTTCACGACTCCCTGGTTGGGGTCTGAGAGATGGTGCTACACAGTGGCTAGAGACGTTATCAGATATGGCTCAGAATAGAAGCCAGTGGCGATCCTGCTGTAACCTTCTTTTACTTTCTTCATAAAAAGTGGTTGTGTCTCCCTTACTTGAAAGATTTCTTCCGATTGTACCTTTCCGTTCCATCGTTACGACCGCACTACCTTTCACCAATCTCTTTGTTATCGTTCTCTTTTTCTTTTGTGCTCCTTAGTTTTTTTCTTTTTTTTTCTTTTCTCTCTTCGAATTTTCATTGTTTTGTGTGGCGCATATATATTGGCGCTCTCTTGTACCAATATTTATGTGCTCAAATAAATAAATAATAAATAAATAAATAATAATAATTTTTCCAAGCGACCTGAATGGCAAATTAACGTAAGTACTCCAACTCTTAAAGCTGAGATTATGCATAGGGTTTTAGTAATAATCCCATAATGACTGATAAAGTAATAAATCTTCAATTAAGGTTACTGGAATATGTAATACGTGTGGCTGTCTACCGACTATCCCGACGCGCGGTGTCTGGTGTCAGAGAAGGTTGGAAGAAAGCTAAGGGTGATAATGTAACTCAATAATCAAGTAATGGTCCGTGTACCATTTCGGGTCTTGTTTTATAAGGCTTGGAGACTCCTTTGCCACGAAAACAATTGGAGATATAGTTATATTCAAATTTGGGATTCAACAGATAAAAGTGGACTACTCATACCATATCTACCTTATTATTATGTTCCTGCTTAGTCTTTATATTATTTTTTTTAATAAATAATTTTCTGTTTTTGTAGGATAATTACATTTTATGGACTCCAGTAACTTCATAACTCGTTTTATTCGTGCTGCTGCATAGATTCATGGATCGTAATACGATTATTTCATTTTTTTGTAACCCTGCTTAGCGATTTGTACTCACAGTTCTTCCCACTAATTTTACCAAGTGTGTAATGACGATTGTCAGTTTTGTATCATACTTTTTGGGAGTGTGGGCTTCTGTCTATTTGGTTGATATAGCTCTGCGTACACATTCATACACGAGAAATTGGTACACTGAGATTATTTCTCAGCTGGGGATTTCGTTCAATCTTTTACAAGCACGCTTATTTACACAACGGTTGAACAATAGTTTCCACTATATATGCCGCTTCAATTGTATGCCTTGGAATCTTTGGTTTTCTTGTGGTGTGATATTTGCTGCCATATCAATGGTAGTAAGCATTTGTCTGCTTACCCTGTTAGCTTACAACACCTTGATGCGCAAACCTATTGAAACTCAGGTTCTGATTCCTGTGGTAAGCATTGATAAGAGTTTAATTTCACATTTTCTAATGTTCAGCCAATCTTTGTTATAAAGTGAATAATGCTTAACTATTGTTTGTTCATAATGAATTGGCACTTAGTTTCTCCTGTGAATTCTGGGGTTATGACGTTTGCAGTAAACTACACTTTCTGTCTATACTTTGTCACTTAAAGTAGGTGGTAGCTTTATTGTTATGAGTACTAAAAAAGAAACACTGTTGTGACTTTTCCACTATTGCTTTGGCATATGGAGAGCAAGCACCTAAGATAGATATAAGAAAATTCACTCTTTATCTTTACCTGACCCGGTTGCAATAATCGGTTTTTCTCACTTGATAAAACAGTAAAGTTGATAAAAAGCGTAATAAAATAAAGGTGACTAATGAATTCAACTCCAAACTTTTCTGATCAGCAATTTCCTACCGTAAACCAAGTAAGGTACCAAAAATTCCTTTTGCAAGTCGTCTCCATTATCCCAGTCTGTAATCATAGAATTTGGTTAACATAGCCCAATGTAGATCTCAGTGATATGGTTAAATTCATTCTTTATTTTCCTCTAAATTTTGAGCTGTCGTTCCATACTTTTATTCTTCAATTTCACCCATTCCTTTTAAGTACATTTCTCGTATTCACTTTTCCACTTCAGTTGATATTTTTTATTTTTCCTCCTCTACTTCTCATCTTGTTAATTTCTTTCACTTCTTTTGACAAAAATGTATCAACTTAGACTGATACATATTTTTGCACAGGTCTTACATCTTGTATGTCAGTCAGTCAGTCAGTATCAACGTAGAACTTCGTACGTACGTACATCAGTTCGAGTTGCCACACCACATTAGCACAGAGATGCAGTGGTCAATTCAAATCCCGTAGTGGTAGAGGTAATAGGAGTATAAGCAGTAATCGGGAAGATTAGTGTTTGGAGATGTTATTTGAAGAGTATAATACAGTGAAATAAATTTGGGAAGAGAAAAAAAAGAGACAAGGAGGAATAAGGAGATCAAAATTTGGGAGAACACAAAGAGTGGATGCACCTGCGCCATTGCAAACGATTTCAAGTCATGTCATTCAGGGTCTCTAACCATCGGTTTCTATCATCTCGCGGTCCCCAACCTGGTAGTCTACACCTACCGACATGACTCAGACCACTTGTCAGTGACTTCATGGACTTGTGCCATGTTTTGGTCTAGTCGCCCCTAGCTTTCTTCCAATCTACTCCTATACCACTGAACATCGCACGTCGAGGCAGTCGGTCGTTGGGCATACGTAACACGTGTCCCAGCCATCTCAACTGATGAAGTTTCACTACTTCATCAATTGATTTGCCATCCTTACCTAGTACCCGTTTCCTAACAGTTGCGTTACTTACTCGGTGGTCCCAGGATATACGAGCAATGTTTCGAAGACACCTATGATCAAATACTAGTAACCTACGGATGTCCTCTACTCTTACCGGCCATGTTTCAATGCCATAAAGTAGGACGAAACGAACTGCTGCGCAGTAAACACGTCCTTTGGTTGATAGACGGATATCTCGCCTACGCCATAAATGACGCAAGTTAGCAAAAGCTAGTCGAGCCTTCTGTATCCGTGCTGAGATTTCGTCACACACCAGACCACAAGGGCTGATGAGACTTCCAAGATAAGTGAAGTGATCGACGCGTTCAATTACTTCACTCCCTATCATTAGTTCGGGTGTCAATGCAACCCAATCCTGAAGCAACATTTTGCATTTCGAGGGGGAGAATCGCAACCCGAACATGCTTACATTGTTGCTTAGAGTGGTCAGAAGACTCTGCATTTTGTCAGCGTCTTCACCAAATAAAACTATGTCATCAGCATATTCTAAGTCAACAAGTGAACCTCCCGGTAGAAGTTCAACCCCTGTAAATTTTGATGAGTAAAGTGTTATCTCTGAAAGCACGTCGACGACAAAGTTGGACAAGAATGGAGAGAGTGGACAACCCCGACGAACACCACTTGAGGTAATCAATTCTGATGACAGTTCGCCATAAGCTCTCACTCGACCAGTTGTGTTTGAGTAGAGAGCCTGAATAAGGTTAATGTACTTCTTTGGTACTCCTTTCAGTGACAAACACTGCCATAGAAACTTACGATCAACAGAGTCGAATGCCGCCTTAAGGTCGAGAAATACTACCATTGTGGGGCGTCTGTGTTCTAGAACCTGACCGAAGCTGCTACCTTGACGCGGTGGTCGGGCTTGCCTATCGTGATGACCCAACCGAGCTATATTGGCTGGAACATATGTTCCTGTAGGTTCTACCATGCCAGGCAGGTCGATTGGAGAACGGTAAGACTAAAAGCAGCAACTCAAGGTCTGAGGGCGAAGTCGTACTGCTGACTGTAGAGGGGTGTGACAGCAGTAAGGTGTTCCCTCGGACAACCAGCATCTGCAGCGATGCTGCCTTCCCACAAGGAGGGGTCGGGTTAGAAAAGGTCGACCCTAAAAATGTCACACCTCACCTTACCTCACGGATTTCCGTCTCCGGCGGTAAGGCCCTTTGAAGAACGGAGCTAACTCATTAAAAACCTTCCACAAAAAAGCCGTGCGCGACCGGCCTCAAGCAGTTGTCCTTTGGGCTCGGCGGTCACGCTCCCAGGTCGTCAAGACCAACACCAATCCAATTTCCTTCTCAGGTTCCTCAAGAAATACCCTTCCACGTTGTGGGCAGCCGGGAAGTGATATCAGCTCTCATACCCGTAACAGCGCACGAAACCAAGTTGGTCACATTCAAATCCTTCCTACACCTCCTAATACCTCTCTTATTTCCATGACTAACCCTCCTCACGTTTCTTTATCACTTCGCACCGCTAGGGCAAACGATTCGAGTACGCGGAATGCTATTCCTGGTCTCCTGAGACCACGCTCTAAACTACACGTAGGAGCTTTTAACGTCCGAACACTGTGCCAAATAGGACAGCAGGCTTCCTTAGCTAGGACTTTAGAATCCCGTGCCATCGATCGGTATTTTCTCTAATATATCTCCTTATAGATCATAAAGTTCTACTTCATGGCATATTTGGATTACGGTATTTTTATTGTCACTACATTTGGGATAAAAACTCAGTGAAACTTGGATGATTTTAAGAAAGAAGACTGGGACGAATAGTTGGGAAGAATCTAAAGCTTATTTATTTATTTGAACATAAATATTGGTACAAAGAGGCACCGAATACATATACGCCACACAAGTCACTTGATTTGTGTGTGAGCTGTGATACTGCACGGATACCTAAAGCAGAGCAGGTGGTTTTCTTAAGAGGCCACACCCGGGGCCTTCGACCCAAAGGTCTGATCTACAAGGCAATAGAGCAACGTTAGGAGATGCAGTCCCATGTTAGCCGGTGACCAACGGTTGGTTCATACGCCATCCGTTCCCTCAGGATTCTGAAGCCCATGTGCACCATCGGTTTGGAATCAGCGTTTTCCAACTCCCCTAGGTAGATTTTCAAGATCCACCAACCCGGTTAAAGCTCCGGACATTCGCTTTTCGGTCTTTCAATTTCTTAAACAATACCTCTGCCGCGAGAAGGCATTGAGTAGGACTTCTCTTGCAGTGGTTGTATGCACGTCTCCATGTGAGAGCATTTGGAGAAGGAGAACTGACTCTCTCCACTCTAGGCCATACCAGGGCATTTTGGGGCTTCCGTCGAATCTTTATCTATATAGCTTCATGTAAAAGACAGAAGAAAACTATTATTATGGTCACTTGTTTTGGTTTTAAGCTGTATCCGAACTCCCAAGCTATCCAGATTCACGGTTTTTATTACCCCTGTCTATGTTTTAAGGATAGATCAGTTTATCCCAGTCACATTCATCTGTTCACCTTATCTACTCGCATCATAAACTGGCCGTCATATCAACCTCCACATATTGTACTTTTTGTGTTAGTGTCTAGATTCCTAGGTTGATGCATGCTGTTGTCTCAAGAAAGTCTCTCAATATTTGAATTGAACTGACTTATTTTAAGATGAAAAGTCAACACCAGGAGTTTCACTTTCATAGTATATGGCGACCAACCAGATTCATATACTATTTTTCCTTCCGGCTTTTGAATTTCTTGTTCAGCAGTGGTTTAAAATCAAACTTTTTTGATTTTTGTAAGGGCATTACCTATACCCACTAATACAAACTTACTTCTACGACTGCTTATTTTTGTGTGGGAAATTAGAATAATTTTTATTTCCACTTTGTGTTCCTGATAAAATGTTTCCACTGGGATGTATGATTTGAGAATTGTCCAGTAACCTATTGCTACTTTAATTAATGACACGTTAAAACTCAAGTTAAAACATGCTTAGTAGAAACTTGTACTCATCCAAGTAACCTATTTTTTAAGCGTACTAATTTTAAAGAAAGCATTAAAGTTTATTCCTTTATAGCAACTTTGTACTTTTCTTATTGTCTATTATTTCATTTGTTTACTTCTCACGGTATTCTTTTTTTGCCGTAGATGCCGGGAATAAACTTACCAACCAGTCATTTGGGATTTTATGCTCTCACATTGCTTATATGCGCATTCATTCATGAGGCAGGACACGCTCTAGCAGCTGTGCGTGAACGCGTTCGCCTTCATGGATTCGGAATTTTTGTGTTTGGGTTTTATCCGGGTGCATTCGTTGACCTCAATACTGCAGATCTTCAGAGTCTTTCACCGTTTTGTCAGCTTCGTGTATATTGCGCTGGTGTTTGGCACAATGCCGTAATTGCCGTAATCAGCATAATTATATTTTATTTACTACCTTTCCTGTTATCGCCTGGCTACCATGTAGGAACTGGGGTGGGTGTCACATACTTAAGAGAGGTTAGTTACGAACATTTTAGAAAAATACGAATCCTTTTTTTGTGGAGATTTACGAAAATGTGTGTAATTCAGTACTTTTAATCGTAACAGCACTGCTATTCTGGTCATTGATAATCTGATTACACCATTTCACATATTTTATACGTACACTGTGTTATAATAGATAGTTGATTAGTTAAATTACACTTCCCGAATAAAATTTGAGATTAGTGTTATTCGATATACCTCTTATTTACTTTTTTCTGGGTTTTACTATTATTCATTAGTACGTCTGGCTCACGACTTCTTAGAATCCTTAATAATTTTCCATTTGTCTCGCTACCGATACATTTGAACACTCTTCAGGTGATAATATCTGGTTTCCTTTATATTTTTCCCATCTTAGGCTTGCAGAAAGCGAAAATTATTTATTATATTTGTAAGCAACTAGTATCAATCCCAATATGAAAGGGTTTTGTCATTTTTAGAACTTTTATTTCTGATTCATATTGAGCTGAAAGATAAATCAACACATGACTGGGAACCTTAATACGTAAAAATCAACTGTACACCGCTCTTTTGTAACGCCGAATTGTTGGGGGGCCCACAGTATTCCTCGAAAAATGCCCAAAGGAGCTCTGAAAACTCTCGAAAACATTTTATCCAGTCAGCATTGAGTAGAAGTTTCTCAGAAGCATTTAGAAAGTAAGGAGTCACATTTCACATTCTTGATTGGATCATTATTTATGAGGGTACTATGTTTAGTAGGGTCCCAGAACCTTCCAAATGTTCAAGGCCATCTAGAATGCTATAATCACCCTCAATTTTCTGTACATAAACTAACCTACTTTTGATTCGAACTGAGGTATTATGTTCACCCGGCATCCAGCTGATTTAATAAGATTGGTTAGTAAATTAACTTCACATTGCCAGTGTGGAAATGAATGAAATATACTGATTACCACTCTTACTTATCAGTGCTGTTAAACAATCACCGAAAATGGTAAAAACTTTCCGATACAACTTTGGTGTGACTGTTTGTGTTTCTGTTTTGTTACCCTTATTAAAACATTTATCTTTGTGACATGCCTCATATGCATAATGTCCTTGTTCTCAGAGGGTCGAGTTCAACTGAGTACGTTGATTGTTGAAAGTCCAGTCCAGCCGTATCGTTTATATATAATCCAACACTCTGTTAAAGGTAACTGATTCCAGCTATTGCGCAGGCCCTAATCAGTGGTTGAGAACGTTGGGTGACAGCTCAGAATCGATCATAGTGACGCAGATTCATTCACAATTCTTCTTCCTCTAGTATTCTTTAATACATACTTTTCATTCTACCTTTCATATACCATATTCTCGATGTTTAATCTCCCTCATTATCATTGCTGCTACATTATTTCCGTCCCTTTCCCATTCATTTTTACCTCATCTCGCTAATGTCTCATGGGAACTTGTGCCAACGCATATATGTATCAGACTTTAGATTGATCGTTGCTAACTGACTAAATCCAACGTGCTGCTAAATTCGTTTGTTGTAAATCTGGTGTACTTAATCTCTCCGGTCACCCAACAGTGCCTAATATGGTCTGCACTGAAAGACCGTGCATAAACATAGTTCTCACATAGTAAACTTGTCATCAAATATATCGTTATTAGTGTTAAATTGGTTTTACTAAAAATTCCGTCCATAAAAGCTTCACTTTTGTTGATTATTATCAGAAAAGGGTTTTGTGGAGATTTCAGTAATTTGGTGGTTGAATTCATCAGTCACTTGAAGCTAGATCACCATGGGAAACCTGGAAGCACTGGACGGCCGTTTCGTCCTAGCATGAGACTCCTCGACAGCGCGCATCCACGATTCAGCTCACGGGATTCGAACTCAGGACCTATCGGTCTCGTGCGCGAGCGCCTAACTTCTAGACCACTGACCCGGCATCCAACGATGCTAATGTCTAACTCCAACCAATCCACAAAATTGCACCACTAGTGACTGGCTTCAAGAGGTATTTTCTGGAGTTCTAGTTAGAAGCCGTGACCAATGGGGTTCAACCAGGTCCGTTGTGAGATAGTAACTCACTGAAGGCATTGGTTGACTCATGAATTCAACTATTAAATTACTTTTGTTATTTCACTTATTAGTTTCACTTTAAAATTATGACCAGTCATCTTTGTTAGAACATTATTGAATGCTACCATTGCTAAGAATTTATTACCGAATAATGCGATTATTGAGTATGCGTTTCTTATTTCACACAAGTGTCCACAGTTCATTTTTTAAAATGTGCTAATGTGGTATGGCAACTCGAACTGATGTACGTACGTACTAAGTTCTACGTTGTTACTGACTGACTGACTGACTTTTTAAAATGTTTGATCTTGTTACATAGTACATGTTATCGTTGTCAAGTTACTAGGTGATTAATTGGTCCTGTGTACTTTCCATATAATAAATTTATAAACAGTACGTCAGCAAAAATTCTGTATTGCATTCAATTAAACGAATGCTTTCGTAATTTTTGCACATTATACTGTTCATTGGACACATTTCTCGATACCTTATTAAATTGGACATTATGTTGTAAACAAATAAACAAAATGTCTTTTTTGGGAATCAAATATTAATTTATTCTCAAAACTACCAGTTAGTTTATACTTTAACTTTTTCAGATCGATTTGAGAGACAACCGTCTTTACACTTACAGATTGTTGGCTTCTCATTTTTGTTATCACGAGTTAGAATTCCTTAATAAATAATGATCTTGTATTGAGATATTTCAGTCATGGTATACATTTATTTAATGCAAGGAAGTAAACTATAAAACATAACATCGATCGTTCAAAAAGTCCTTTTCTCAATAACAATTAATATCATTCGTTGATGTGTAAAGTGCCTACTATGAGTCTATACTTTAAATGAGTTATCAACTACATTACATTGCGTTTGCGGTCAGTCGTAATCAACCTACAGCCTGATACAAATGTGATGTAGCCCTTAGTGTTCATACTACATTATCGCGATGAGATAAAATTAACAGGATAAATAGGAAAAGGGTTTGGATAATGCAGTGACAATGATAATAAGAAAGGCTAAACGCTTAGAATGTCGTCCGAAAAGGAGGAATAAAATTATGGTTAATTTGATATAGTAATAATGTCATGTGATTACAGTATGTGATGGGTGTTAACAAAGTAACCATGTTAACAAGTTCATGTAAATTCGTAATGATGGATGTGTAAATTAAGAATGAAGGAAAGTCAGATATAAACATAAAGAGGAATTGGGAAGTAAGTGGTTTGCAATGTCTGGTTTAAGTATACGCTGATCTAATTGTGAATGAAGTTGAAAGCAGGCTGAACATACCTCTTTTTAGTGCGTATATTAGGTCTTCTAAAGTTGATCCTGATGGCTTCAGCTATGTAGACGATTCGTAATCTTGCTGCTTAAGATACCTAAAAACGCAAAATTGTCACCTTATACGTCACAACGAATCATTTTGATCTGTTGTAAACGACCATTCTAGTTTACAAATAACACATTTTCGAAGTATTTATGCCGTAACAATTGCAAAAGTTTCAAGTTATCCTATTCACTATCTTCATTATGCAAAAGTGGTATATTTAATCACTTTTCTACTAGACATTTCATAACACTTCTAGTTTACTCAGTTGCCATTAAATCATCTTTCTAGGTTTTGCTAATGTGACTTTGATATTGACCATTGTTCTTGTAGATGGGATCCTCAACTTTTCTGTTCATCAAAAGTATTTAATTGTGTGTTGCACAATCAATTCATATACTGAAGTTCAAAAAATCACAAACTTCATATAGCTCTTGGTTAACTCCTTTGATATTTATGTATGAAGCACAGGTCATTTTTACTTTGTACACGTTCCGTAGGCTGTTCTTGTGAATGACAATGGGAAATTAAAAGTCCGAGATGGGTAGTGTTTCGAATAGATCAATGCAAAACGTTCACCTACACAGCAGGCAATCAGTCAGGGCAAATGTAGAATTTAGCGTTTAGCCTGAGTGATTCGGTCCTTATGACAAGGTAAATAGTGTACAAACTACAGATAACCAATTAAATTACAAATAACAGACGTATGCTTAAGCCATGCATACTTTTAAAAAATACATGAATATAATTGACAGTCACAAATAAGCTACAAATATGAGATCATATGCTAAATCATTTATCTGTCCAAAAGTTAGGATAGGTTCGCGTACGTCTTAAGAACAGTCAAGATATTTTCTTGATTTCTTTTTCAGGATTCTGTCGTCACGGGGTATCGTGGGCTTGCTCTTGGTGATGCTATCACTCGGGTAAATTCCTGCCCAGTAAATCAACAATCTGATTGGTTCAAATGTTTAGAGGAGGCATACATTCATCCATCTGGTTACTGTGTTTCTGGAGCCTATTTAAGCATGATAGATAATAAAGCCTCTGTTCCACGTCGTAGTTTATCCGCGATTGTTTCTGTCAATAAATTGGATGAAAATGATAGTTTTGAATCAGTCAGTAATCAAAATAAACTGAATGAAGATTGTTGCACAGTTCAGTCAGCGTCGACTCATTTGTGTTTTACCTACACAACACCTACAAAGCTGAGTTCTACAGTAAGATAAAGTTCGATTATTATTGAATTCAGTTTTAATTGTGTTGTCATTTAAAATTATTTTAATGTATTTCTAAATATTTACCTTTATGATATATGTAAACAGATAGATTATTTGTGCAGTGATTTTACTGCCTAAATTTTAACAGTGTTGTTATTACTGCTACATTTTGTAATCCATCTGAGCGGTAATAAAAGTAATAGTGAGTTTTGAGTTGGTCAATGAAATGTATTGTCATGGTTTTTGTCTATAATTTCTTTAATACTGGTTCGGTGAATTCAGATGCTTATTTTTACTTAAATTCTCTGTTTTAAATGTAAAGTAGGGTAGTCCGTTAAAATCTTTGTGATTGCACCCACATAATACTTTCCTGAAAATTGATTTTAAAATAGTCGAGTTCATCTGATTTATATCTTGTAGTGGATTATCTTCGAGATAATTCCTAGGGTTTCGTATATCACTTGTTTGATAATTGTTATTAGATAACTCAAAATGATGTATAGGTTTCAGAAGACAATACGAAGTGTACAGTGCAGATCACTTAACCATAAGCATACAAAGCGAATCCGAGTAGAAATGCGAATCAAGCGCTGTATGAATTGATAAGATTTAAGGAATTATTTATAGGAAAGCGAAGAGTCACGTGCTATTTAAGCAACACTTAAGCTAGTACGAGGGACATGTGTGTAGGCTCTAGCACTCGATCGAGCATATATGTTCATACAGACATACTAATAAAAGGCTTGACAAAACCAAACGTAAATAAACTTAAATGTAGGTGAGGTGCTGTGTTATTCTTATAAGGCACATGAGTTATTGACTCTGTGTATATGTTCATCCATCTGATAGTGATCTCAACATACCAAAAACGTGTACTAAAGAGTTGAAATATTATTGTAATACATCATCATTGTTGATAAGTTCATATGCGCGTTTCTGTGCGAAAAAATATGTTATTGTATCACACATATCACTTGTATTTTTAAAAAAGTATTAAATTTATACTTGTTTTCCAAAATAGCACCTCAACTAATTAAAATAAATATCTAAATCATTTGGTTTTATGTAAAAGTTTTTTTACATAGTTTGTTTACTTGACGCACGTTATCATAACGATTTGTTTTTAACGTTTGAACAAGCATTATTGCAGTGGGTCCCCGTTAACAGTCGTCTATGTGCTGTTCGGCTAAACGGTTCCGTAAGAACTCGGAAGCATGGGGACACGCGTCGTTGCATTTTCGTCATTTCTGCCTACACTCTCACTGACTGCAGTCCGAATGGAGTGAAATATGAATTTTACAGAAAGCTCTCTGAACTTCGTCAGAAAGCTAAACGTTCAGATATAGCGATCTTAGCAGGTGACTTTAATGCCCAGGTAGGTAGCTTAAACAAAACAGAACGACATTTAGGTGGGCGTTTTGGTATTCCGGTTCAGCGAACAGATAATGGTGATCGTCTGCTGCAACTGTGCTCAGACAACCGTTTATTTTTAGCAAACACAAATTTTAGGCACAAGGAGAGACGTCGTCTAACATGGCGACCCTCCGTACCAAACCAACGATAGACTCAAATAGACCATATTGCCATCAGTCATCGTTGGAGAGGGCCGGTAGAAGATTGTCGCTCATTCTGGAGTACCCGTTTGGACTCCGACCATGCTCTAATACGGGCACGCATTTGCTTGTGCCTCATTGGACGCAGAAAAGCCATACTAGAAAGACCCATTAAAACTGAATTGAGTAACGAGAAAATCAAAAGTAAGTTCCAGGAACAACTGAGGTCACATTTAGTTCTGAAGACGAAGCTGACTCAGATGTTGCTTGGAAAGATATACAATCAGTTGTGGAAACAGCAGTGACATCTGTTAGCAATTTAAACCAAAGAGTTACAAAAAACCAATGGATTTCTTTTAAGTCTATTGCAGTGTTGGATTCTCGTAAACTCGTCCCATCAGGCTCTGAACACGATGATGAGCGAAAACAAATCAGATCTAGGTTAAACAAAAGTCTAAGGAACAACCGTGAGCAGTGGTGGGCTACGGAAACAAAAGAGATAAAAATGGTGGTGGCTAAAGGGAACACAAGACAGCTCTACAGACTAATAAAGGAAACTGGAATTAATAAGTCAAGTTTAAGTGAGACTATCTGAGTGGTCACAATCACTGATCGTCTCAATATATAAGAGAGGGTCAAAATTATCATTTGACAACCATAGAGGGATTAGTTTAACTGATATAGTTTCTAAAATACTAGCCTCGATAATTATCAAACGCCTAACTAAGACTTGTGAACTGCAAACTCGAGAAAATCAGGCTGGCTTCAGACCTGGTCGTGGCTGCATCGACCACAAATTCACCATTCGTCAGGTTCTAGAACACAAGCATGCTTACCGTTGTCCGACAATGGTGGTCTTTATTGACTCGAAAACAGCATTTGACTCCGTAGACCGCGAGATTCTGTGGCAGTGTCTGTCATTGAAAGGCGTACCTCAGAAGTACATAAACCTTGTGTAGGCTCTTTACTCGAACACTACTAGTCGAGTCAGAGCTTATGGCGAACTGTTATCTGCTATTGCAACTTCAAATGGTGTCCGCAAAGGCTGTCCACTTTCTCCATTTTTGTTTAACTTCACCATAGACCTACTGATGGAAATAACGCTGTCGTCGACTGAGTTTTCGGGTATTGATCTCCTTCCAGGAGGTCCACTTAACGACTTAGAATACGCAGATGATATAGTCCTGATTGGTGAGGACGCTGACAAAATGGAGACTCCTGACCCTTTGTTCTCGAATCACAGTGATTGGTTTACCTTCTTTGTTCTTGGCCAATCTCTTTCTTACTATATTTCCCTGTCAGGTTCTTTGTTGTTATATAGTTGTTTCATATTTCCTTCTGACGTAGCTATTTATGCTGTCGTTCCAAGGTCTTTGACACATTTCTGTTTGTCAGATCTAATGCTCTTCTTCACTTGCTTGTTTACTCCTTTTTATTCAACTTGCGCCTTCAGTTTCTCTGTTCTTGTTCGACTGTTGTTAATTGCTGTCATTTTGTTCTTCTTTTCGTGAATCTTGTCCAGGTTTTCGATGGAGATCCATTCATTATGATGATACTTCATGCGGACCAGCTCCTCTTGACACGTTGAAGTTAATGCCTCTTTGATCCTTTTACTATTGTCCTCCATAGTAGTTTTTTCTTCGAGTAGATCTTGTAAGTCCTGGAACATGTTGTTGAGCGCTATCCTGAATTGGTAGAGTTTGTCAATAGGCTGTATTGAACCGTTGTGTTGTTGTTTCTCCAGTTGTTCAGTGCTTCTTTATCTTTAGTTTATTCTTGACAACTACCAGACAGTGATCCGAAGCTATTTCAGCTCCTCTCTCGGTCCTCATCTCTCCCACTGACCTTCTGAGTTTTTCAGTGATATAGATATGATCGGTCTGGTTCCGCGTAGTGTGATCCAGTGAAACCCGTGTAGCTATGTGTGTGTGTTTGTGCGGGAAATAGTGCCACCTATAACCATTTTGTTGAATGCGCATAGATTTCCAAATCTCTCGACATTCTCATTCCTTTCTCCTGGTCAGTTCATGTTGTCCCACGATATCTTTATACCCAGTGTTGTCTACTCTGACTTTGGCGTTTAGGTTTCATCAAAATGGTCGTGTTTTTTCCTGGTCACTTCCCTACAGTCGAATGCAGCCTCTTATAAAACTGGTCTTTATCGTCGTCGTTGATGTCATTTTCTTCTTTGTGACCAGAGTACAGCAGCATCTATACTTTCCTGTCCAATGGGTTTTATTTATTCCACGCACCTCCAAGTCGTACCTCATTTTCGTAACTATTTAACTAGTCCTTTCGATCTACCACATTGTCCGGACGTCCCATTTACCCATTAAATTTTTTGCTGTGGTTGTTAGAAGGGGCGTCAGTCTAATGACATATAAAGTCCTTCAGAAAATAAACGGTTCGTCTGTCTTATTTTACTGCACATGTAATCAATCATTTTTTTGTTCTACATCTCTGTATCAAATTAAAATTATTTATTTTATTGTTGACTGTCGAACATACTAGAGTTAAAAATTGGTCTACAATCTCACTTTTTGCGTGTTTTATTTAAGTTTAACCATTGTTGCTTTGTTCCATATTTATTGACCTTTTACCAGTTTCACAATTCTTGTGTTGCCTGTTTGCCATAACTTACAATTTTTGACTTGAATTTATTGTTGTTTTTCAGTCCCGAAGATATGCTTGCCTGCCGGCACGTGCTGTAACTGAGCGTACCAGCTGCAATGTGACCTCTGATTGTGGTAATCTTGGCGCTATGCGTGGCAATAACAACGGGATACAGAGCGAATCACTGGGCGTCATATCTACTCGATCAATGTATTGTGTCGTACCAAGCCCCCCAGACAATTCCACTCGTCTAGTGCGCCTAGTGCATAATCGCCATAAAGCCCCTGCAATTCTTTTCCTGGGTCCATTGGAAGATCTTGTAGCTTCTATAGGGGTTTCCGATTATGTCCCACGTTGGCCTTCCATACTTTCACCAAATTTGCCTTCCTTCCTTGGATTACTATGCACGTAAGCAATTTATATTTTAATTGGTTGTGTCGAACTTCCTGTAAAAACCATTACTTGTACTTCGTGAAAGGTGATCCCATTCATTTTACTAGAAGCTGGTATACTAATCACTTATTACCCAGCATCCCAGATATGTCGGAGTAGAAGCTTGCACTCTATTCATTAAAGCTCAAACGCCTTTTTATACGGCTATTTCGAACAAATTTCGAATGAAGAAAATAAGAGTTTTGCGAGAAACAGTTGTAATTTGATCCATTAATTTTGAAGACTAAATGATGTAATTTTGTGAACAATACCCAATTTTCTCATCATTGAGTATACCTCCATCCATTCAGTGGAAAATGCTAAGATCTTTTAGTTCTTTTTTTCCAACTAATGTATACTTTATATATATATATATATATATATATATATATATATATATATATATATATATATATATATATATATATATATATATATATATAACAATACTATTATTTGTTCACATACATTTAAACTGCTTCTGTTCTAACGCCGACCAGATCATGCAAATGATACTAACAATATCTACAATAAATAGAAAAGAAATAATTTAAGGGGTATTGTTATAGATTTCTGAAGCGTGAACAGTAAGTTCAATACATTTACCATATGTCGTTTACCTCGGAAAAATTTCTAAAATCGATTACTTCTTTGTGATTGAGTTATAAATTGACGTAACAAATTTTCCATATTTCTTCAGCATGAACTTCCTTAATTAATTGTTTTTCAACAATTAGGTATCTGTTCTCATTGTCCGGTGCCCTCGTGATACTCAACGTTGTGCCTTGTTATGCTCTTGATGGTCAATGGATTCTGAAAGCGTTTTTGGATTTATTTCTTCCAGGCATATTACCATCGCGCCCGAAAAGGAATATGGTTTTTACTGTTGTTCTTATCCTTGGTAGTAGCCTTTTGGGACTAAATCTATTTCTCGCAATTTTGTATCTATGTCTTCAGGCTAACTACACAGGTGGTCTGCTGAATTCCATAAGTCCAATAACTTCTGTTAATACCTGAATAAAATTTTATGCGTTTAATTGTAAAAAGTCCGAAACTGTGATTCGTCACTCAGTATATTTTATCTTTTTGCTGTCTGTGCCTTTATAAATCTATTTTCTACTGAGTCAGGGTACAAATCTTTCTTTTTTTTCTTAAGTATACATGTTTTTCTTAAGTTCATCTTATATCTAGTGCGTCTCGAAAAGATCGTTCATTCCACATTATCCCTGAAACTGGGCAGATAATTCCAGGTAGTTAACTCTGTGTGTTTATGGTTGTTATCGAGTCTCGTCGAAATTGTGCTGCACGCGATAGCTTCTGTGCCTGAAAGTTAAGCAAAATGAGATTCATAGGACTTCACGGCTCTTACCCTAGAATTACATGCCTTAGTCATATTAGTCTTCAGTGTGCATGCATCAGACTGAACACATTTGTCCATGTATCGTCGTAAGGGTGTGTTTGTCTTGTAGTCTAAAGTCTTCAGTATTAATTTCTAGACATAGTAAGGTTACGCAAATGATCTACAGGGTAATTAATAAGCAGCAATGAGAGTGATATGATCTATTAATTCAATGTGATTATCGCTCACTTAACATTCAGTCATGTTTTAGTACTTTTTTTTATTGTAATCCGGCTGTTTTCTGAATGGATTTTACTCGTCCTTGAGGTACATTCAATAAAAAAACGCATCTTATGGCGTAATTTTTAATCGCCGAAGAGAGTCCGTGTTATAAACACTAATTTCTGATTGTATGTATTCTGACACCGGTCCGTTTTCTTACCAGTCAAGATCTAGGTTGAAAATGTTGGAGGTACAGTGTCAAAGTGGAATTACAATTTCCACTATTGTGTTAATATTTTTTGATTGCGTAGCCAAGTGTAAGGTACATCATTAACCATGATGTGTATGTATTACTTCTAAAAATCGGTCATGCTTGGTTTTGCGACTGGTTTGTCATTAGGGTCTTAATCGATGGCATATTAGGATGCGTACTTCTATATATTAAGTCGTGCCTCCTGGTCCTACTATTCCGCTGAGATAGCTGGTAATGAGAGATCTTGCTTAGAGTATTGTCTTTGCCTACTTAGCGTATATCATCAAAGACGTTCATAACCATAGACCAAGTGAGCACTAGTATCGTATCTCCCGTCGGTCGACATTAGGTTGATATATTCAGCTTCTTTCGGCATCCGCACTTTCGGGAAATCGTAGTCTACGATGCTTAGCTTCGGTCTTGCGATGTAGTGGTCGGTTGCTATTTGTGGGAATAAACCGATTGTCGTGAGTGGTGTACCTCCGTTTGTATGATTTAGTGTGGGGATCTGTCATTTAGTGCTACGATATATCTAGAGTGATCCTATTTCACATATCTCTTAGCAACTTAGTTTAAGGTATGACGATTTTGAAATCCACATAAGTAAGAAATCCTCCTTTTAATAATTGTCGTTTCTCTAACACTTTGATTACGTCAGAAAATGAGAAGGGAAACTTGTAGTACTTTCTTCCAATGTACTACAAGAGACGAGTGTTATGTTTCGGATACTCCAATTCATAATTCTGTCTTGGGTAAAGAGGTACTGGACTTCATATCGACATGTATTATTTCAGTGAAACTAAGGGAAGATGGAATATTAATAGCCGATGCTACCAAAAAGTGGCACCAAAAATCATCTGTTTACAATAGGCTGAGGCGATATATATATTACTGCTTCAGACATAGCCAAAGGTATACAATAATAACGATTGATGGGAAACATGAATACATAAACATCCAAATTATCATGGAGAAAGCGTGCTATCCTTACGCTGATTTTGCATTCAGTTATTCTTAGAACAGTTGCAGAGTCAAGTTACTTAAAACGATCGGTCACAATAGGTGTTGATTATCCCAGTCATTTCCCAGTATACTCCTATCCCTTTTGTGACGGAGCAGTTTGAGTTAAATAGGTCGTGAGGGATTCATGTAGACTAGCCTGCAGTGTTTGGACGATATCTAATGACTCCAATACATCCTGGAATGTCCACTTTACTAACACCCATCTTCTCATATTGCAGTAGTGCCTAGAGAGCTCACATACCTCAGGTAAATTGTTGACAAAGACTTAAGATGCTACCATGAAGGAATTTTGTCACTAACAACCCGTAAATTCTTTACCTGGCAGCATTGATAGTAATACGTGGCTGAACCGGCGCATTACACCCGAAAATTTAAGTGAAGTTCTGGCTAATCCACCCTCAACTTAATGTGGAAGTTCATTGGGATTTCATACTGCACAGGTTATTATGTGCTATGAAGCAGTAATGAGAACCTCCGGCCCACAATTTGATTTGCTATTTCGCGCCACATAACCAAGAATTATTTTTACTCTCTAGACAACGTAGTTCACGGATTATTATTTCAGACGCTTAAGCTATTTAAAAAGGACAGTGGTATTTTTCCTCGCTGAGTAAATTTCTTTGTTTCGATCGTTTATTACGTATCAAGACTACTGTTTTCACTTTAATTGAATTCATTTCAGTTAAAGTATTCGACTAAAGTATCGTTTTTACTGTTCTCTCAATTAGTTTTGTCGTTGGTACTCTTGAGTACCTCTTTTTCAACTATATCTGTTAGTACTTTTGGTCCTAGCAATCTACAACTCTTCACTTTTTTGGTCATTGATTATTTTCTTGTTTCTGAGTATCATCGCATCTTGAAAAAGAACCCCTCCTAAATGACCGGACAGTGTAAAAAAAGCAGTTGTCAACGTCCGGGTTGTCGTTATCATGTTGAAAGCGGCATGCAGTGCGACGAGTGAAAAGGCTGGTACCACGAATTTTGCACGAACTTAACGCCTGCTGCTTTCAAGCAGTTCAGTAGGAAGGGTTGTGTATGGCTTTGTCAAAAGTGCTGCTCGGATGCAAACAGCTTGTTAACCGAGGCGATTTCACTGGTTGATGCTGCAAAGAAATGTTTTAGCAAGCATAGTCGGAACGCGTCAAACAGCACTCGATCTGTCGACACGCAAATCAACGTGAAGGAAACTAAGGTTAGTTTGGTAGTAGATCACTCACCCCCGCCAAAGAAGGAAAAGCAGTCTCCAAAGGGGCCTGCCTTAAACAAAAGCTCAAGAAAAGTAGGGTCTTCTGTTCTCCGTCTCCCAGATGGGATCCAACAGGAAACACCTAGAAGCCGCAATCGCTAGGCTCGACCTGTTTCAAGCGGTAAACATAACTCGACCTCTCAGGTCGTCGACAACCCGCCAAAATCCAAAACTAGGTTTGACGCAACTGTTATTGCTTCTACCAGCACCGTTGACGAATGGATACAGGTTGTAAGGAAGAAAAGTAGGGATATAAAAGGGAACCCTGCCCCCGTAAAAGTAGTTGAATAAGCGAAAGCTGATCATAGCGACAGATCAGCTATTTTTCATAGAATCAAGGAGAGCGAGAGCTCTGAACCTAAAGCTCGTTTTGAGCATGACATTGTACTGATTAGGCAGCTGCTCATTCAACTCATGCCTCAAAATATCACCGGGGTCACTTTGCTAAAGTTGAACAGGCTAGGGAGTCTAGCGGTCTCGAAACCAAATCGTTCCAGACTGTTTAAAGTAGTATTCAAATCATCTAACGAACGCGACCTAATTTTACAGAATGGACACAAATTAAAGGGTTCGGGAGTTTTTATCCGTAAGGACTTGCCATTGGCAGACCGTGTAAAAAGACGGGAAGCCGATAAAGAACTACAACTTAGGTTAGACGCTGGCGAAAATAACCTGAAAATTGTAGATTTTCGGGTTGTAAGGCTTCGACAGAGAATGATGCCGAAGCCACTCTGGATGAAGCACGAAGCCACTTTAAAAGGCTTCGGATCTGTTACACTAATACCCGAAGCTTACTTAATAAGCGATCGGAACTAGGTGTACAGATTGACTCTACAAAGCCAGACATAATCGCAGTCACAGAAACCTGGCTGACACAGGCTATAGTAAGGGAGGGAGAGTAGCTCTATTCATTAGGAACGCTATCCCATTTGACCTTATCGATAGTGTATCGCATGAGAGTGGGACGTGTGAGTTAGTTAGTTGCCGCTTGAAATGCAAGGGACAAGAGCTGCTGATTGGTTTGGTCTATCGCAGTCCAAGCTGTGAGGTAAATGAAATCCTGTTAAGCAATCTCAATACTTGGTCCCAACGTGGTCGATATCTAATCCAAGTGGACTTCAATGCACCTATGGTAGACTGGGAAAATCTGCGAACTAAATCGTCGGAGAATTCTTTTGAGCAGGAACTAGTTGATGGGGTTATCACATGTGCTCTAGTGCAACATGTGAAAGAAACGACAAGGTACGATCCGGACACTGAATCCTCCCTATTAGATCTTATACTGATGTTGCGAACCTCCAACATATGCCACCCCTAGGTAAAAGTGACCATGCAGTTTCAACTTTCAACTTCCATATAACTGCCAGTCACGAGCACATGTCAGTCCAGTCCAGACCCAATGTCTGGAAAGCAAACATACCAGACATCAGCATTGTTAATAGATTGAACAATAGACCCAGAGTCCTCCATTGAAACGACCTGGGACGCATTTCGAAATTCATTCTTAAAAGTTACCACACCCCACATCCCTTGGACTATACCAAAGAGGCCGAAAACTCACCACCATGTCTCAATAGGGAGGTCCGTATCCTTCTCCGTAAGAAAAGGAAAATGTGGGATAGATTTAGGTTACTGGGGGGTGATGAGTCAAAATCTCAGTACCGAAAAGCTCGAAATACTTCTGCCTCGACCCTCCGTAAGTGTAGAAAATTGTACGAAGGAAAACTTTTGACATTTAAGCTGATCATTTTAGCTTTACTGGACAACACTAGCTAAGTGTGCCCGAATAACCAACCACCGATGATTCAGATTTGTGTTGTAAGGACAGAAGGCCTAAAAGCTATGTTATTCCATTTCTAGCATGCTTCTGTGAGTATCCAGTCTTCTCTTGAAAGAGTCAATTGAAGGTGCGGACACCACTGCTTCAGGCAGCAGGTTCTAATTATTGATGACTCGGTGTGAAAACCTGTATATCACGGGTATTTTGTTCGTTCTTGGCCTTTCTACTCGCCTGCTGTGTCCTCTGAGGTGTCCTGATCTAGTGGAAAGAGAGAGAATAAGTTAGGTCCAAAATAATTTCTCAGTATTCTGTACATCGAAATTAGATCTCCTGTGGTGTTTGAATTAACTAATGATTCTTTTGTACTTGTTGATTGTACGATTTCGAATTCCAAATACAATACATTCGTTTGTGCTTGTGTCTTCGTAATTCGATTGCGTTACTTCTTGGACTCTTAGTTCGTGCTATAATTCAAATAATTCGAAACATTATACTGGCGTCGCGATTGAGCCTGCAATGGAAAAGTTAGACATTCGTTCAACTTCTGAAGCTTTTGAGGATTATTTCGAAAGGTTCGAAATCTGGGTCATGACCAAGGAAGATGGTGAGTGTGTTAATATTGTGGCATATTTCCTCACATTCATCGGTAAAGAAACATACAGATTGTTAAGAACTCTGGCAATGCCAGAAAAGCCCATTTCGCTTCCTTATACAACTCTCAAGGAATTACTACTAGACTATGTCAAGTATGTAAATTTTGATTGCATTAAAAAAGAAGGGACATTTCCAAAAATGATTCCTCAGGACATCAAGAATTCTACTACATCACATCATCCCAATCCAGTGCGTGCTCAAGGTTTTGCAGATAATTCATTGAGGAGTTGCAGTGCGTTTCACGAAGATTGGCGTAAGTGTGGTCAATGTTTGTCCTGTGGCAAGTTCCACGCTTTTAATTCATGTAAATTTTGTAATTCTAAATGCTTTAAATGTGGTGATATGGAACATATTCAGTCAGTCTGTAATAATAATCTTCATGTTATTGCGACTAATATTAAGTCTTGTAATTCTGATTCTACTGAGTCGAGTATTTATAATGATGATTTATCCTTATCATCGATTGCAATAGACAGTGTAGAGTCACAAAGCAGTTCAGAGTTAAATCAAGTCCAGAATTCTTGCGAAACAACAGTTTCTCACCAATCGATTCATCAGAATTCTCATGCTATTGTACCAGGTATGGTTTTTCCTAATGATTCACATATTTCTGATGAAATTCCTTGCAAATCTGAAGAAAATATGTTGAGTGAACATAATTATGATCGAAAACCTGATGTAGTTTTGATAGATGCTAATATTTCTAATGATACATTACTCTGCAATGACAGAGGGAATATTTCAGAAGAATCAAATCCTGATGTTATATCATATATTACCTATCCTTATAATGCATTTGATCTTTGTGAAAAACTTGTTAATGAGAAGCACGAGTATTAAGTGAGCTCAATTTTGATTACAATTCGGATGATTTCATACCAACTGCTGTTCATCCTTATCACAAAACACTTCTAATGTTTACTCTGGTCAATGTGAGGAGTATGTTTTAAATGAAGTCGCATTATTCATAACTTGGGGATATAAAGATCCGACATTATTTCGTGGGGGAGGATAGTGTTGAAAAATATATGGTTCCAATTCTAGATATTAATGATTTTGGTACAAAACCGACATGCTTATTGTATACAATTCCAGGTTAGTCTGTTCTGATTTCGTTTGCTAATTCCAGTACTAATGAGCACATTCTAGATACTACAAACTTTTTATCCAATACAATGTCGGACAGACTTAGGATGAACTTAACAAGAAGACATACAACCGATACAAACACTTATACTTCTATTTAAGCTGTGGCGGATGTGGTGTTTGAATTGATTAATGATACCTTGGTACATGTTGATTGTACGATTTCGAATTCCAAATACAGTACATTCTGTTGTACCTGTGTCTTCTTAATTCAGTTGCGTTATTTCTTGGGTTCTTAGTTCGTGCTATAATTCAAATAATTCGAAACATTATAATAAAACAAAGGACAAGGAGAAAAGGAAATATTGCTGCTCTGTGGGGAGGCAGTACTGCTTCATCATTAGTGGAAGACGACTTTGGTAAGGCTCAAGTGTTCTCGAACTTCTTTAGCAATGTATATACCATAGAAGCACCCTTCCCGTCAGTGCATACAGATCCCCCCACACATACACTGGATAGAGTGATCATTAAAGAACTCGATGTCTTTGGTCTGCTAAATAAGCTTGACATAGGTAAATCCACGGGCGACTGAAGGAATTATCTAACTTCGTTGCAAGCCCTTTAAGTACATGCTTTAACCTATCCCTTACGCAGGGTCGTTTACCCAAAGACTGGAAAAACACCATAGTAAGTCCTTTCTTCAAAACAGGTACGAAACACAAACTTGAGAACTACCACCCGGTTAGCCTAACTAGTGTGGTTGTTAAAATCTTAGAAAAGATTATTCGGAAGGAGCTGTTTAAGTATCTCGATGAAAACTTGATCCTTTCGGAGAAGCAGCACGGCTTCAGAATAGGTTATTCTTGTCTCAGTAACTTATTAGTGGCTCGTGAAAGCTGGTGCGCTCTTAAGGACCAAAAGCTACCTGTAGACGTAGCCTTCATTGATTTCAGCGAAGCTTTTGACAAAGTTCCGCACAACCGGCTGTTATATAAGTTAAGAAATGTCAGGATTGGAGGCAATCTATTGATGTGGATAAAAGACTTCTTAGTTGGGCGTCAACAAAGAGTTCGGGTGAACCCAAAGTTATCTAGCTGGGAAACTGTGCTTAGTGGAGTGCCCCAGGGTACAGTTTCGGGGCCAGTACTATTCCTCTTGTATGTAAATGACCTTCCTTGCTATATGCTGACGATGTCAAGATATGGAGAACGATATGATGTAAGAGTGATAGCTTAGAACTTCAAAATGACCTGAAGAAGTTATCTGAATGGTCTCAAACATGGCAGTTGCCGATAAATACTTTCAAATGTGTTGTGATGCATATCGGTCATCAAGGCACAGATACATACACGATGAATAACACTGAGCTACCTGTCGTCCAGACATATAATGACTTAGGAGTCATCGTTAGTCAAGACTTATAGACTACTGCACACTGCCGTGCAATAGCCGCCAAAAGTTTTAGATCGTTATGGTCAATACGTAGGGCTTTTAGTCATGTCGACGTTTTTGACTTTATATACAGTGTTCGTTCGTCCTAAACTTGAGTACTGCATACAAGCGGCCAGCCCCTGCTTAAAAAAGGACAGTGAGCTTCTGCAAAAGGTTTAAAGAACGGTAAATAAGCTGATTCCTGGAATAGCGAAGCTTCCATATGAATCGCGACAGGCCAAGCTGAACCTTTTTCCGTTGTCATATCGCAGAACTAGAGGCGACTTGATTACAGTTTTCAAATTGCTTAGTGATAAATTCGCACCTGATATGCCATCATTTTTCTTGTCTTCCGAAACAGAGGATTTACGAGGACACTCCAAAAAAGTTCACAAGCCACGAACAAATTACTTGTCAGCTGACTATCGACTTTCCCGTCGAACCATCAATGAGTGGAATTCACTACCTCAGCAAGTGGTTGAGGCTTCATCCGTCGACTCTTTCAAAAGAAAGTTGGATCAACTGAGAGACCACCATTGCCAGGACTAATATAGGTCATCGAACCTCCTGTCCTTCCCAAACTGAAACTGAAGGACTTATTTGAAGGTTAGAACTTGATAACGACAACAAAATAAGTGCAATTGACAAAAATGATTTATATGCGTTCCTTTGTTACAAGGTACGAGAGCCTGATGATTGAAAGCTTTTTCCAATGCATTCACAACTATTTGTTTAACATAAATGAACTCTTGATTCCTACCACTGAAGATTGAAGAGGTGAGTTTGTTCACTCAAGGTCACCTTGTGCTTCGCGATGTCGGTACGTCAAGTGCTTGTTTTGATCACTATAGCTAGGAAGATATTGAAGTAACGCATGAGGATCAACAAAGGATAAACAGTTTTGCAACGTGGAACTTAAAATTTAAAGATTATACATCTGATTACGATCAGAAAAAGGTGTGAATATATTTTGTTCTGTATGTAATAATGAATTTTAGAAAGAGCTGGCAAATCTTAATGATGCTGAGGATGAATTAGTTGTCGTCGAAGAGAGCTTACATCCGTATCCTCTTAACGTCCGTCATATTTTTGACATTATCCCCGTATGTACATACATATAGTATGCATAGTGGTTGATGTATTGAACAAGCACCAGCCTCAATAATAACAGCAAATCATAGTTGTCACTCTGATTTGCTTCTTCAAATATCTAACAGCTCCCAACTAACTCTTCGCAGTTATCTGGGGAACACGCGCTCTACGAGTGGAAAATTTAGTCCTAACGTGATTTGCAAGTTTTAGTATATCCTAAACTCTTGTACCATCTGTTTATTCATTCTACTCTCTCTGCCTGCATTTCTCTTTGTTTTTTTGGTCTTAGACTTTTCTATGATCTATCTAACAACCCACATTTCACCATGGTCATGGTGATCTCGTGTAAGCGACCTGGATGCCGTTTTGTTGTTACCTGTAGCATACAATGTGACAAATGCGTTAAGGCGCATTTTTGGCCATTTCGACAGCAGAACTCTCCACTAAGTTCAGTTTTATTGACCCTACTTAGAGTATAAAAACATAGTGCTCCCTACCTCTGAAAGGATAAGGGTACGTTGAAACGTATCCAACGATGAGCCATGCAATCAGTTCGGGGACTTAAACTCAAGCCTTATGACGAGCAACTTCAAATTACTGAAGCTTTACGCACTAGAGTATAAGCATTGCAGAAATGACCTAGTGACTTGCGGTGTTCCAAGCACTCCTGGGAACCATTTTAACTACCGACTTAAGCTTAATCCTAACACAAACTTTAAGAGTAACACTCAGAAATTAGAGATACGTAGCAGAATGGATTGTAGGCACATTTTTTACTTATTACGAGTGATCAAGTTCTGGAATCTGATGCCAGCTAAGGTAGTCAAAGCGCCTTACCATGAGTCCTTTAAGACAAAACCTGACTTATTTCTAAAAACAATATCTCGCTATAATTTACTCTTTTCGTTGTTAAATATACCTAGGTTCCTACCTGGACACGCCGGTGATCCACTGTTGCTAGTTACGAAAGCCTATTAAGCGAAAGCTTTTATTTCGTCTAGAATCGCTTAGTTATGTATAAGTCACACTTTATGTCATTGAAAGTCTATGTGAATCCTGCGTTCAGTAATTACCTGCTTCTGATTCACTCGTTCTAATTTTGTGTACAACGTTGCTTATATTAGTTTGTGATATGTAACATGCGTTCTAACCGTTAAAAATCATTGGATCAATATTCTTTCAAACCTTGTCCTCAAAGCTTAAGAGAGCTCACTTGAATTAATTATGACCATCTCAATAATAATCTCTGTGGGGTTTTAGAAGCAGAACAGACGTACAGTAGCTCCTTCACGATATCCTGTCACGTTTGGGTCATGATTTATGACACCCTGTCTCATTGTCCCAAGATTTGCAGAAGTGAAGTCCAAGAAGTAGCGTATTCCGTGATTTCACATTCAAAAATATACTTCTGGATACTCTAGACACCTTTAATAGTTAACTTATGCGTTCTCTGACATATCACGCCCTCATTATATCTCATTTACATTCACTTTCCCTATAATTACCTACGACGTTACTACTTCACACTATATAACCGCAAAATTGGTGTAGATCATGGATAAGTCACTTAAAGCTTGTCTAAAATTACTAAGCTTATTTTCATACAGGTTGTTCGTTACCTTCGGCTATCATCCATTTTCCTTCTTTAAAGGAACTTCTAATCACTAATTGTCAACGTCACTACAGTGCTTGTATGTGGCTGGTCGGTTTGTCTTTAATTGTTCTTCTATAGACTCAACAACTGTCCAAGTTAGATCTACATGGTTGAATGCTGGTAAAACCTGATGGCTCCTCTTTCTAAATCTAGAACCATAACATCTAAATCACTCCACAGCGATGAATAAAAGACATGCTAATTAATCCCTTGGATTTTCCCTTTACTCGACACCTTGGGAACATTTTTAATCCGTTTCTTAATATATGTAAGAAAAGGCTAATTAAGCAAATTATTTATCCACATAAGGCCAGCTGATTTGTCGATTTATATTATTATACTTTACTGATAAATATGTATTCTGTAATTAGCTAAAACAACCTTAAAAGGTAAAAAGATATCTTATTGGAGAAACATTTTTCCACTTGTCAAACGATGAAGTTGGAGAAGAGCTCTCAGCAGCCAAAGAAAAAGTGAAATTGCGAATGGTGGACCTCGAAGAACGAATCAGCGACTGTAAAGTTCACATGAACAATTTAAAGAAAGATCTTTATGGCAAATTCGGAAATCATATTAATCTCGAAGAGGACTAGTATAACGCTACTTTTGAAAAGTATCAACCAGTATACTACAAGAGTTCGCGTATTTATTGGAGACCAACTAATTATCTGTATCAGTTGTATTTCTAATAAACAATTCTAAAAAAATACAGTTATGGTAAGGCAGCAAAGAGAAAGCAGAGATAAAAATGGCAGTAAAGGAGTTTCTTCGAAATAATTTAAATTAAGAGGTTAAAACATGAGTTATTGATTACGAAATTTGCATGTTTATTTCTGAGCGCATTCAAAAAATAGGTTTATTCAAATCTCGGAAAGACAAAAAGTGTAACTATTGAATGCATAATAGTATGATAAATGCAAAGAAACACTATATACAACTGCTAAAAGGTGTAACAGGATTAGTGACTTTTGACTGATAGTTAATAAATTGAAAGCATAGTTTTAATGGTATTTCTTAACAACATTCACATATTATTAGAAGCAATGAATTGTGGCCTGGAAGCTTTTATAGAAGGTGCCAAGCGGCTGGATCCTATGTACCACCAAAGATTTGAGGAGTTAATAGACGCTTTTCGCAAACTGTCTGATTTAGGATTATGATGCATATGGGAACTTTCGGAGGATTTCGAAAAATTAGATTGTACAAAAGAACCAGATATGAAAGGGCGATGTAGTCCTTCTACAAACCCACTATCTCGCATAGTAGACGTTCGGCCGCTGTGTTGCATAGAAACGTTCGAGCCATTCTTTGAAAAGTTACGCACCAGAGTAGGGGGTGAAGTAATTAGACGTGGTACTGATTTAATACCGTGATTTTGACTTAGAAAATGATTTTTCGAAAAAGATACTGAGCTAACAGTTAAGGATGCTACTGAATGGTTCCCATGAATGTCTTTTTGAGAGGACAAATGTAATTGTTTACTTGGGCAACTTGATCGTTTTCTGCCACCTTTATCGTTAATTTCTGCGTTCAAAATCCCTGAAGAGAATGATGCTTCCATGCGTGAACTGCAGTTCTTTATAATTTGGTCGTTAGTTTTATTCGATTTTCCCCCATCCGACAAACTAAAGCATCTTCGTAAGTTGCTAGGAGAAAAGCTATCGTAGGATATTGCATGGTTTTGGGGTGGTTGATTTGCAGGATGACTGGGAACATAATACTCATCTTTAGCAGTTTTTATTGCTTGAGATGTCTTACCTTTCCGAGGATGCATAATCTGATCTTCAACGCATGACAGGTGACTGGGACGCCAAGAAAGCCGAAGATGTTGAAATCGATCCAAAAGCCACTTCAAAAAACCTGGGGAATGAACTGAATTGTAGATGATTATAATAGTCGTGGTATACAATGAGTTAAGGATTAATCATTTCAAAATTCCAAAAACTCGATATTTTTCTAAATGATAACGTGGAGTTTTATACAGTTGTTTACAACAAGGATTATGAGTTTCGAAGTTGAACGAAATCGTTATTGTCACGTGGCAACCAAATTGTCGTGCGATCAATTGGATAGGATTTATTGATTCTCATCTTCCAACCCGTGGAAACATAATTAGCTAATATTTCTGTGGAACCTTCCTCATAAAATAAATCAATAACTGCTATAGGCAGCTTCGTATGAATAATGAAACACATAGGTTTCTTGTGAGACTATCAGAGAGATTATATAATGATGATAGCTTTTTAAGAATAAAATAAAAGTGATCGAAAAGAACTTCGATATCGTTGCACTCTATCACGCTAAAACCAGTGACACATGAACATTATGTGGTTCAAATTAGGAAACTTTGGAAGCATTCAATGAAGAAAAGGAAGTTAGATTGAACGGCAATCACCATACGTTAGATTTACAGTCAGTGAACTAATGGATTAATACTATGCTCCGCTATGACCACTGTGGTTTTGTCCCAAATGTAAGCGATTATGTGAGATACGTAGCACGGCACAAACATCATTGATGCAGAAAAATAAATGAATCGGATTGATTTTTACGCTTGGGATTATTAACTTTATGGTTGCGTCGAGATATACTTGTTTTTTAGTCGGTTATTCATATGCATCGTGGAACTTGGCAATATATATATATGCATGCTTTAAGAGCACAACGCTGACAAGTTAAAAGCAATAAAAGATCGCGTGATTGTTCTCTAGTATTGTTTCTTAAGTTGTCAAGACCATTGATCCAGTTTATTTTTCAAGTAACTCTGAAAATTTCAATAGTTGAGATCATGAGTCAACTGAAGCTAGACCACCGAGGAAAACTTGAAAGCACTGGAAGGCCATTTCATCCCGGTGTGGGAATCCTCAGCACTGCGCATACAGTGCCACCAGATGTTTCATGGTTATCTAGCTTCAATTGACTCATGATCTCAACTATTAAAATTACTACAATCTCCACAAAACCCCTTCTGATACTTATCAACATATGCTCACTAGTGACTGGTTTCAAGATGCATATCCTGCAGTTCTAGTGAGAAGCATTGACCAGTGGAGTCCAATCAGGTCAATTGTGAGATAGTAACTCACTGATGACAATGGTGGATATGTCGCCCAGTTTTGTGGGTTGATTGAGGTTAGACATTAACACCGTTGGATGCCGTCTGGCTCAGTGGTCTGCTGGTTAGGCGCTAGTGCACGAGACTGGCAGGTCCTGGAATCAGGTCCCGCGAGGCGGAGTCGTGGATGCGCACTGCTGAGGAGTCCCACAATAGGACGGAACGGCCGTCCAGTGCTTCCAGGTTTTCCATGGTGGTCTAGCTTCAAATGACTCATGATCTGAACTACAATCTTTACAAAACTCCTTCTGATACCAACTCAAGAAATGTAGACATTTTTCACATATGCCAAAAGTATTCCTGGAGTAGTACTTCTATTTTAATGGGATCAACTTCCATGAAACGACATTAAGTAGTCGAAATTCATGTAAAATTAAAGTACCCTTCTTTTGATGGTTCTAGAAAACTTCGTTGGAATGTATTGATGATTGTATACAGACTGATGGATATTGTAAAACACTGGGATTCTTAACGTCGGAACAAAATTTATCCTAATTTCAAAACCCTTAAACACTGGGCACTCAACCAAACAGATTTGTTGAAAAATGCACATAATCGATCTGGAAAGAAATCTTTTGCAAGGATCACAAAGATCACAATTCATGGATTATATTGACATTGTAGAAAAAGTAGACCTGAAAAAATTATGGAGAAAACTAATAATACCACTTGGATGTTAAAAACCAAAAAGGTTCCCTTTGGTCCCAGAGCAGTAAATTCATGATTTTCCTAGTGTTCGGTTAGATATAGCACAACTAGAGGCTTTATCGACCGGCCCTAGATTCTGCAACTATAGGAATAGAATAAATCAACGAGATACAGATGTTCAGTTTGTGGATTGATTTTTACGAACAACAGATTTGGTCCCAACCCCACTATATGAAATTACTAGATTTAAGAACACGTTAGTTGAAATCTGCCAACAATGCAAAAATAAAGTGTGAAATCACCACTTACCAAACAGCATTAAGGTGCTTTACATATGTTTATAAAATACAACGCTGATCATAAGCAAGCCAGGTAAAAGAGGAGGGCTAGTTCTAATAAACAAAACTTATCACATCGATAGAATAAACTCAATTTCGAGTGATCCCAGACCGAAGGCCCTGGGTTCGAATCCCGCTGGTAGGACCGTGGATGCGCACTGTTTAGGAGTCCCACAATAAGACGAATCGGCCATCCAGTGCTCCCAGGTTTCGACTGTTGGTCTAGCATCAATTGGTTCATGATCTCAATCAAATACTTAATAATATCCACAACCCGATACTGATAGTTACCAGGAAGAAAAATGGTTCCATTAGTAGATGTGTACAGAAAAACTTCTTCATTAACCTATTACGCGCACTTTTTGAGTATTGTACCCATTAATCACAATAGGAACCTAGTTAGACGTCTTACAAGTAGAGCTAGGAGGATATAATCAGACCCTATAAACATGGAGCTAGAGCTCATTCACAATATGATGACTAAAATAGGTCATACGCAAAGTTTTATGAAGAAACACTCGCATGTATTGAGCACGAAAATAGCGTCGTCAACGGTTAGTAAGGAACCTCTCTTCCTAAACCTATAGTTCGGCGGAGATATAGCTAGTAATGTACTACAAGACAGATTGACTAAAACAGGATGTTTTCAGACGGTTGATGATGATTTTTTAAAGCGTAAGTTATCTGGTTTTACCGCATTTATGAGTATCTAAAAATCCAGTCCCTCCTGTGGGGAAAGTTGGGAAAGAGTATCACCAAAATAATACACAGTTCTATTCTATCACATGTGATCAACAAATCATTCAAAGTAATTTATCATATACCTAAAAGTTTCCCTTATTCGGTTCGATCTCATCCCTTACACATACCAGAGACTATAGAGATTCGAGTTAACAATCTAATTCTGTGCATTCTTATGAAATTTGTAAAACCTTCACCTCCTCTTTGGGAGAATTAGCCTTAATAAACTAATTTATCTATGATTTTCCATACTCTCTGTCTGTTTATTTACCTACAACCTCTTTTTTTCAAATATACGCTTCATTTTCCAATCATCAGAACACTTCTAGTCACGCAATTTTATAATTTTAATAAACGTTATCTGTGTCCATTCTTTCAAATCGTTGGTCTACTTTTTACCATGAAACATTGGTTCAAGCCTTTATTATTCTTATCACAACTAGTACACCTGTCATCGCAATATCAATTTGTAATTTTTACTTATTTATGTGATCTATTTCCCTGTTATCATCGGCTCATAAACTGACTTGATTTTGCAATGATTTCATATATGCACACCAATATTTCTGTGTTTTACAGGCTGATGGTGATCTAACTAAAAACCTTATTTTCCGCATATACATTTTGTTTCAAAGTGATATTCTCCATGAAGTCGTTTGGGATAATGTCCAAACAGCAGGGTTATATATTAGTATCTTAACCTAAGAGGTTAAGACCACTGAACATAGGCAGTATTTATTAGATTAACAGATATTCATAAACTCATCTCATCAGAAGAACGTAGACAACTCAAATAATAACTGACCAAAAGTCTGTAAAACGGCTATGAGTAGCGGTGAAAGACGGACGTGAAAAATGGAAAACACAGCGTCGATAGATACAAATAGATAACTTTTAAAACTTATTGGAAATAAAGGTCTTAAAGTTATTTGTTGATCGGTCTGTTTGTGAAAAAGCTGAAACCCTGATCTATTTTTAGCCCAAACAACTGGAAAGACGGGCAAAATAGCTACAGGGGCTTTCAATTGCTACCCAGTAGCCTATAACTACCAAACGATCTAGACTATTGGTCGAATTGAAAAGGTCATACCAAATGTGAAGCGAGGGAGCAGCGATACCTGGTGATTTAATCCTGGAGATATGTTGGAATAGTGGTTCAGTTTCGTCAGGAAGCTCACTAACTCTAGTTTCCATTTTATTTCGTTATAGTTACTATCCTAAAAAATTACATTTTCTTTCTCTAACATTATAGATTCATTTCCTGTCAGCATATTCACTTATTGACTGAGAATAAACAGATGACATCGTCCTGTCTGGTGATGAGTTTAACGAAACCCAGTCTTTTAAACGTCTAGTATGACTAAGATGTTCCGCCAGACACGAATCTCTGTTTGAGAACTGGTCACCTAGATTGATCATAGGGAGTGAAGTAGTTGAAGTCGAGAAATCAGCATACTTTGGGAGTCTCGTTGGATCACCTGACTACTCTCAACTGGCGTCACTTATTGTGAAGGCTAGATGTTCGCCTGCTAAACAAAGGGCTAGTATGATGGGAAGCAGTCCGCTCTGTACTATTCTATATCTGTGAAATATGACCTATGAAATTAGAAGACATGCGTAGGCTCATGTTTTTAATCATATGTGCCTTTGGAGTACTGGTTGCGCATCACAGAACGGTGGACGCCAACTTGCGTCATTTATGGCGTAGGCGAGATATCCGTCTGTCAACCAAAGGACGTGTTTACTGCGCAGCAGTTCGTTCTGTCCTACTTTATGGCTGTGAAACATGGCCGGTAAGAGTAGAGGATACTCGTAGGTTACTAGTATTTGATCATAGGTGTCTTCGAAGTATTGCTCGTATATCCTGGGACCACCGAGTAAGTAACGCAACTGTTAGGAAACGGGTACTAGGTAAGGATGGCAAATCAATTGATGAAGTAGTGAAACTTCATCAGTTGAGATGGCTGGGACACGTGTTACGTATGCCCAACCACCGACTACCTCGACGTGCTATATTCAGTGGTATAGGAGTAGGTTGGAAGAAAGCTAGGGGCGGCCAGACCAAAACATGGCACAAATCCATGAAGTCACTGACAAGTGGACTGAGTCATGTTGGTAGGTGTAGACTACCTGGTTGGGGACCGCGAGATGATAGCAACCGATGGTTAGAGACCCTGAATGACATGGCTCAAAATCGTTTGCAATGGCGCAGGTGCATCCACTCTCTATGTTCTCCCAAATTCTAGTTATCTGAATTCTTCATGCCCCTTTTTTTCCTCTTTCCAAATTTATTTCACTGGATTATACTCGTTAAATAACATCTCCAAACCCTAATCTTCCCGATTACTGCTTATACTCTTGCTACCTCTACCACTACGGGATTTGAATCGACCACTGCATCTCTGTGTTAATGTGGTATGGCAACTCGAACTGATGTACGTACGTACGAAGTTCTACGTTGTTACTGACTGACTGACTGACGCTGAAGTTCCCTGTAGGGTACTCTATGCGAAGATAGAAATTCAGTTAGTCAGGCTATTAATTTTCATCAGCTGAGTTCTCTGGGACACTTATTACTCAAACCATATTCTGAATGTTTGATCTTTCTCACTATCATTACTACGTGGTTTATTTCGATGTGTTTGGTATTCACATTTTTAACTGCATCCCGTTGTGTTGATTTGATACTATAACTAGGGCAAATCTATATTTGTCCCAGATTTTACGTCAATTATGACTAGTTCATATTTAAAGACGAAATAATCGGTACATAAAGAACAGCCGTGTCAGAAAAAGCACTTAAAATGACAGAATTAGAGCAGTGTTTTCATTTTGATAGACAAGACAAAGGAGTTTCTTTTAGAACTCTTTGAGGGAAAATGTTACTTGATTAACTAAGCTTAAAAATAAGTATACATTTTTAACTAAGATTCATGTTATTAAACATTATACTCAACAATTTTCTGTCACATTGATAAATGTATACATATATGCTTCCTATAATGATTTAAAACACTCATTTGAAGAGCAGCTACAATAATGTGTACGGATTCCAGTACATCTAAACCTTCGTATTTTGAATAAATATACATTTATATACTTGGAATATTGTATCTGAGTATATTTTGCGCCGTCTATCTGGATATCCTCCGCTCTATCGGAAGCCGAAAGAAGCAATAAATATTACTCCTCATTTGCATTATAAGCTTCAGAACGCTTATTCTATTTACTGGTAACAACGTAGTCAAATGATTTACAAATTAAAAAAACGCGTACTAACATCTTTGTAACTTATTTTAATATAAAGTGAGAAAGTGAGGGGATTTTGTTATAAATGGACCTAGTAAAAGATTCCAAATGATAAAACAGGTGCAACAACCTAATGAAAGTATATTTTTCGGAATGTGTTTTTTCAATGTCTGTTTAGCAATAATGAAAATTTCAACATTTATTGTCCATTAACACAAGTTAATTAGTATTATTCATGCAGTTAGTGTAATTACACAAAACTAAGAACCATAGGCTCAGACGAATTCAGATTCTTTTATGTTGACTTATATTTTAAATAAAAAGATAGCCGTAAACATAACATTATCTTATCATTAATTTATCTGAACGTTAAGTATAATCACCAGTTAAATTCGCGTCTTTATATATTCCCCGGTTTGTCTACATAAATTTCGTCTAATATACTTCTTTTTGGGTATTGTCGTTAACATCTCCTTACAATATGTATATTATCAATATATTGATTACGATATACTAGTATATACATTATTTTGATAAAACAAACTAATCTTAACAATAAAGGAATATATGTACCTAAAGTTTTGTAGTTTTACGTAGGCGACAGCGAAATACGGAAGTAGCAGGAGGTGACTGATAAATCTAATGATCTATCTAGGAATTCCTTTTAAAACTTAGCTCATATAGACTTTATAGAGATGAAAATGGAGCAAGTAAGTGACACACACATTAAAATATGATGCGAAAACAAAACAAAGTAAAATTAAAAAGGCAACGCTTGTAGTGTGAACTACATATTTAGACCCAAAAAACTACCATAAATCTTACCAGAGTATTTATTTAATAAAAGATAAAATATCTATTAATTTACCACAATACGGTAAACAAGTGAAGTTTACAAATCAGGAGATAGGATTTACCTGGTATTATTAACAAAAAATTGTTGTGTGATAGGCTATTTCAGAGTAATCAAGAAGAAATTTGAAATATACTTTTTACGCCTTTCTTGTAATCATAAAATAAACGTATTTCCATAATATATTTATTTGGTAAACTTACAGAAAGTCAATCTTTTTTAAAGAAAATATTAAACGAGTATTTGGCACTGTTGATAACAAAGTGTAAATAAGCATGATTTCGCTTCAGGGGTATTCTGTATTACTCCCCATTGTTGATAAGAAATTGACTAAATATTTAGCTGTCAATATTGTCAATCTAATAGTATGTTGGTCATAGGTAATGTAAGACCTACCAGCAATATGTACTGTTCCAAGTTGCCACACATTCTATATCAGTAAATGGAGAGAGGAAACTAACCGGATAAAAAGCAAAGGATGTAACCTAATAATATTGATTGCGGACGAAAATCGAATACATAGCAGTAATTAATATTACACAGACAATAAGATGATGATAAATACGAACGAAAAGAGGGAAAATGCGTTCTACCATCTTGACAGTATGGTTGTTTTGAATAAAGTATTAATTTTAAGACATCCATGTATATAACCGGACAAGAACGTTATATATTGTCATAGCAACAAGCCTGTAAATTAATATTTATTCAAGTAAAGCTGGGATGTTTTCACGATAGAATTTTGTAAGGACGTAGGAGTTTTAATCTTAGGATAGAGTTAATTCGAAAATCTTGGCACTAAATCAATCTCATATAATCTAGGCCAATAGATATATATACAAATATATATGAAAATTCATTTAAGAAACTGGCTTATGAGTGAATTACTACCATTAAAAAACTAATTGATCATATAATTGCTTAGAAACAAAATGATGCCCTTAAATAAGAGGGAGAGAGACCACTATTATATTTACTAAAGCCCATCGAAACAAGTGAATAACGTTTTTGTTAAAGTATTGAAGAAGTCCTAAAAGCCAAAGGATTCATTTACAAAAAAAATACTTTTATCTGTCAAAATGAACTATAAATTATTATAAAGGACCAGTCTATTTACGGATATTATGCTTTGTTCAACACTAACTAATGGATTGTATGATGGTAAATTGATTATTGTGAATGTACTTTAGTATTTTTTTAATCACTGAATAATAATAATTATAAATACATCGTTGATCTGAGAGAATTTTAAGTCTCTTTGACCAACAAAAATTTTATGAAGATAATAAATATAAACAAGGTTTCGAACGAAGGCATTGAACAGTATCCAATTTAGGAGGACTATTCACATTTATAGAAGTAAGCTTATAGAAAGCATTTCTTTACGATAATTGCCGTTGCAAACATCTAAATTAGTTGCTGCTAAAGTTAATAACAACGAACTTGAGTTTGGAAACTCGTTGCTTAAATAGGATAGACACTCAAAGTACGAAGATGAAACGCCCCAAGATAAATGTGAACCACAATCATTTCTAAAGAAATACTTACAATTATGAGAGTTATCCAAATATTGACTGAGAATTATACAATCCACTGCGTAGGCAGTATATATATATATATATAATACTTCAAAATCATTTATTAAAACCCAAGAAAGTTGAAGGTTGTCTGGTAGGTTAATTTACGGAAAATAACTTACATTTTTTGTTTGATGGTATTTCAGCACATTTGGTGAATGATGTTTCCGTTTGTGAATGATGTGGGAGTTTGATTTCAGATCGAGCTGTATGTGATTTAAGAGAATCACTCACACCAGCTGAACTAAATTTACTAACATTTTCTCTTGTTGATTTCATAACATAATTACTATTGATGTCATTTGTTTTATAAGTTAAGGGGAACTGGGAATTGAGATATTTTAAACTATTGGTAGGTGAAACAAATACAACTGGGTTGCAATTATTTATGTGATTACGTCGAAGGTGATATGAACTTATGGAATGAGCACTGAAAGACCTGAGCAAATGTTCTAGTTCTAGATTTTCGGGAACTGGCACCAGAGCACTAGCATTTCGATAATATGTAGAATTTCCAATTTTATGTTTAGCATTACGAAGTTGATCGTTCTTTTGAACAAGATCACAACGGTTAACTGGATCAGATAAGGATGCATTTCGTCCAAATGGCTCTGTTTCTGCTAGAGGGGCTGTTTTTAAAACTGGGTAATCCAAGACACTTTCAGTGTCTGTACATGTTTCAGGTACATTTTCAAGCCATTTTGCAACGGCTAACTTTTCAGGGGTCAGAAGATTGTATCCGTGACCTAATTTGGATGTGTAAATGTACATAGGGAAATAAGAAAGAAAGGAAACAGATGGATATAGACCTAACATGACTAAGAATAAGTATGAAACACAACACGTATAGATAAATAAAATCCCTAGCCATAAGAAAACTGAAGAATTTTAATCTAGGACGAAACAGTAGACGAGTACCTGTGGCTTGCAATGGTCCTGATGTTAGTCCGTGATAAAAATTGGCTTCAAACTCGACACGCCACAAACTCTCAACTTCAATGTGTAAAAAACTCGATGGGATTATAAATACATAAACTCAGTAAAATATCTAAATGTATATACTCATGATCTGAAAAATTGAACAAACAATCGCTTACAATTTACAGGTGATAACAGAGGCTAGTGACTAATTTCCGAGCTAGTATATTACCCTTCATGATTGTTTCTTAAGAGGAAGCAATGCTTGAGCGACTAACGGAAATGACTTCACCTTAAACCGCTTAAAATACAGGGTAGAATTTATGAGAAATATCGTTCGCTACACGTAATAAAATCTTTGACATCCATTCGCATAGTTTTATAGAACAGACAACGTTGTTGGATAGTGATTTCACACTATCAATAAGGATTACTAGATTCCTTAAATAAAAACTCTTGTTCGTTCAGATTATTACTTATTTTCATATGAATCTGATCATTTGGATCTTTACCACTTTAATTATGGAGCTTTGTTCATATTCTTATTCTATTAAAGCGTTTACAAACTAAGCTGTCATAAATAGTTATAAAGAACTACTGATCTAATACTGAGTTCATATATAGTCTTCAAAAAATTAACTTCCAAGTAGCCACGAGAGAGTATAAAGTTATGATGAAAATACAAAAAATGTTATTAAACTTGGCGAAAGATTAATTTACAGCTAAATACTCTGCCGTACAATAGATTTATAGCTTCGAATGTCAGTCAACAACTTTACTTTACAAATAATTAATGTTAACGTGTTATGTCAGAATTAGTTTAAAAATAAATCCATGAGAACAAATTACGACAAAAAGAGCTGAATAATTACTTAAATTCCAATCCTTGAAATTATTCAAATATAATCTATAATAAATATAAAAAAATGATTCATTAATAAATAAAACAAACTAGTTGGACATTCAGTCATGAATCAATTCACAAGAATAACAGAATTTTAATTACCGCTAAAATATATCGCTCCAGCTTGAGTTAAGACGGCCAAAGAATTATTCACATCATTTAGTGAAGGGACAGGAAGCTGTATGCCACGATATACGTCTTCAAGATATTTGACTAGACGTTCCACTGAACAACTAGGTTCAGATTGTGTAACTTGCCAAACTAGTTGACAGATAACTTCCTCCAAACGCATTGCATTAAACTGAGAAGTCTCCAAAAACCAAGAACCTGCATCTGCTATAAGTATAAACATCAATTTTAGATAGAATTTATAAAAAGGATCGCAACATATAAACAAGTAGTATAGAAACAATTTTAATTGCTATAAACTCTAAGAAAAGAATGCATAACCAATCAATTTTCTAGCATAATGAACAAATAAAACTGATCATATGTGATGGTATACGGTACGTGGGCAAAATAATATAAGTTAGGAGGAAATGAATAGGTACGGCAAGTTGTTTAATGTTCTTGATTACAGTTTCAAACAAGAACCACTGTTCTGTATTCCAATGTTGATGTTTACATTTGCACATTACTCCGACGCATATAGGGAAAAAGTAAATTTGAAAGCAAATTAATGTTAGGTTACTGAAAGTTATGATATATACTCAAATTCCCTAAGAATGGCAAACGTATAAGTAGCTTGAAACTTTTGATATACTTATCAAATAAATTGCTTGTTTATTTGTTTACAGTTGCCACTAGATGTAACTAGGATTTTATGAAAAGCTGTTCTACCCAGATAATGGCGGCTTAGAAATTACGAACAAGCTACCCACCAGGATAGTTATTAAACCATTGCGTTCGTTATCTTTTGTATTAAGTTAGCAAGGAGCTAATTACGCATTTAAACCATTGATTTCGAGTAAGGGGCTAACGGTATCCAATAAAAAATGGTTGAACAGTTCCATAGTTATGATAACAAAAAAATGTGTAGATTTACAATGTAATCGATAGTATACTTCTATCTATTTATAGCTTATCAGCAATTGGATATCGGAAGACTGAACAACTAGTTGCTTACAATAATGTTTTAAGAAGTAAATCATCCGCTGCTATACGGAATGTATAATGAAAAATATGTGATTATTTGCGCGTAAGCAACTGTAGATCATCAGTATGGGGCTGTAGAGATTACTATGTTTTTGATTGAGACCATGAAACGATTGATGTTAGATCACCATCGAAAACCTGAAAGCACTGGACGACCGTTTCGTCCTATTGTGGGACTCCTCAGGTGTGCGCATCCACGGTCCCGTTCGCTGGATTTCAGCCCAGGGCCTCGTCCCGCGCGCGAACGCTTAACCTCTGAACCACCGAGCCAACACCCAACCATGTGCTCACTAGTGACCAGCTTTGTGACTGAATTCTCGGAGTTCTAGTGAGAAGCCGCGACCAATGGAGCTAATCCGTGTCGGGTAGAAAGAGGTATCTACCTCAATACAGTGGAAGATGGTCGCGCAGTTTCGTGGATTGGTTGAGGTTAAACATTAATACCGTTGGATGCCGGCCGGCTCAATGGTCTGAAGGTTAAGTGTTCGCGCGCGAGACCGAAAACCCAAGGTTCGAATCCCGAGAGCGGGATTGTGGATGCGCACTACCGAGGAGTCCCACAATAGGACGAAACGGTCGTCCAGTGCTTCCAGGTTTTCAATGGTGGTCTAGCATCAATCGTTTCATGATCCCAATCAAAAACTGTAGATCAACTAGCAAATAAATTCGTTTTAGTTATCAGGATGAGTTTGATAAATACATCATACGAGTTACTTTACCCCAAATATAATTAAATATTAGTGTCTTAAAATCCTTGAGGTGTAAAAAGTTCCACCAGACCGAACAGTATCATGTTTAGTTTGTAGATATTTGAAAAGCTATTATGATCAGTACTATCAAATTTGTACAGTAATGTGTTATTTCTTTTAATGAACCCAAATCTCTGGTTTATTTTAAGTATGCTCTAACAGAGAAAACTAAAATGACTAAACGAGCAGTTATTCGAGCTCTATCAACAAACGCTGTCATTAGACCTAATGGGATGTTCGACCTGTTTAACAAGATTAGCGTACACAGCAAAATAATCTATCAGACTCTACTTTTTGGTTGTAAATTAAAGCTATGAACAGAAGAATGTATAAGGCTGAGTACTTTTGGCCACCAACAGCTTTAAGGAATTAATTTTACTTGGTCATACAATCAGGAAAATAAAGATGCCATCGTTAAAAGGATATTAGGTATAAGTTCGCACGAATACTATATGTGATCAATAGAATGTATTATGAGCCACGTCATATCTGATACGTTTAAAAAAGAAAAATATCTACAAATTAACTGAAAACGTACACACTGAGTTGATTGAAAAACCAAAAGGAGATTTAAGTTGACCTCTATCCCACGATAACTTTATGGTTCGCAAATGTGCGGAAGATCCACCTATTAATAATAAGTATGGTTCAACATGACCAATAAGGTAACAGTTTTGGATAGCTTGAGAAAGCCATGAATTATTTTGATGTGTGACGTTGATATACTTGAAGGAAATAAACAAATCAAACACATGTAAAGCAAAGCGTGACGGTTGCACGTGCTGACAGAAAGTAACTGCAAGACATTTTGCGCGGTCTGATGAGAGGGACATGAGACTTTTGATATTCCGAACAATTATTAAATCATCTGTAAGAAATACGTTGAAAAAGTAAAAAATAATAATTAGAACTTCTGTAAAACACTATGAAATACATGAAGGTACTGTTATTCAATTACTTGAATCCTTAAACAATTAAATGTTAACACTCAAACTACTAGTTATAGGAAAAGCATGGCAAGTTACAGGAGGTCAAATGAAAAACTAAACTATGACAAACTTGGCACAACAGGGATTGAATATAAAAGTATTTAGCTACTATTTGACGTTAACTTACTATTGTTTTTGTTAATGTAAGCAAACCTTCGGGAACAACGATTACGAAACTCACAGTAATCAAACGCCTTTACTTAGAATAGGTCACGTTCCACAGTTAAGAACCGGAACTGACTCCAGTGACCCGCTGTACACCTAACTCCTTACAGCCAGATTAACACCATGGCTAAGTCTAAGACCTTCACACTGAAAATGAGTACGAGACATCGGTCCAAGTTGCTATACCTCATTAACACAACAAGATGGACACCGGATTCATAAAAGTAGTTATGTCAGAGGTGGTAATATAAAAAAGAAAGATTGCAATAAGGATATAGTACAGGAAGAAAAAAATCGTAGGAAGAAAGATATGAAGCGATTTTAATCTCTTAGTTTAAAGGAAGACAGAGAGTGTATACACCGACGCCATTGTGATCGATTCTGAGCCATGTCACCCAGAATCTCCAACCATTGGCTACGATAGTCACGCGGACCTCGGTAACATGTTAAAGTCTCTAATAATTGAGTCAACATGATTTCGCCACTACGTTCATAATAACTGAGCAAGTATCTCATACTCTAAACAAAAATATATCGATTAGTCAGTGTTCATTGCACAATAATTAGAGCATCAGAATAAAAGCAGGTCAGTCCGCACTGAGGAACCATGGTTGAGAGGTAGATTTAGACTGACGACTGCATCAACAAATATAAGGTCTTATTACTTAAATTTTCCAACAGTATACTCGAGATGTACTATTAGTCCTAAATGGAAGACTTTCGAGAAGCTTAGAAAATACAAGTTATAATTAACGGGCTACTTTTATATACACGTATTAGCATAGAAACTGACACATTATTAGACTGTAACTAAGAGGCAATTAGCGCATACCTCCGAAAATGATTGTAGTGTGTGATTTAAAAACATGCATACTCTTAAATGAAAATTTTGATGTCAATCAGTATAAAAAGAGAAAATGTCTAAAAAGCTGGGGATGCATCCCCTTTGTTCGCCTTTATTTCCCCTTTTTGGTTGTCTGGATGGGAAACAATATACCAGTTTAGTGACTCGGACCTATAGCTGAAGCAAGTCATAAGTGAAATTATATGTGAAAATGTTCAGGACAGTTTACTTATTATTGATAATAATTAGTATAATTATGTTAAATACATATGCATATGTATTTAACATGGTAACACATGACTGAAGACTTAAATCTCTACCATTTGGCAGTTGCAAACAAAAACCAGTTTATGAATGAGGAAGACCCTACTTTTGATTCAATAATACGCTATGTAGATAGGTGGAAAACGGTAGATGTTGTGAATATTGTGAGACAGAAACAAGCCTGAAATCGAACATCCCCCCTAAAGCAATTCGAGTACGGCTGAGCGTAACGACCTTGAACTGTCCCTAAAGTGACCGATTAGAAATGTGGGTAGTATACGACGTATTTTTATGGAATCTGTATAAACTGACGATTGATTTGTGCTTGATAAAGCGCTTGTTGTGAATTGTAAATACAGTGGGTTCAGTATTATGGAAACAAATGGCGTATGAACCAACCGTTGGTCACCGGCTACCATGGAACTGCATTTCCTAAAGTTTCTCCATTGCCTTGTTGATCAGACCTTTAGGTCGAAGACTCCGGGTGTGGCCTCTTAAGAAAACCACTTGCTCCGCTTTAGACACCCAGGCAGTATCACATTCTATACACAAATCAAGTGACTTGTGTGGCGCATATGTATTCGGTGACTCTTTATACCGATATTTGTGTTCAAATAAAAGTTTTGCTCATCTAGATCCACTTGCCTTAAATTGGTCTATTCCCGAAATTCTTGGTTTGCAGATCATTTCGAATACGTAACGTTTTCATAGTGGGAACGCGACTGAACCTGCGATTGGACAGTTGTGTTTTTCAGTCAAATTCCTAAATTTCAGAATTACATGGAAAATTTTGAAACCGACCAGGAAAGATGTTAAAGATGATACGATTAATCTTATGAGCTATAACTGTGACTCATATCAAAACACCTGTCGTAGTGGATGCCAGCAGCTTACAGAAAATTTGGCCTATGTCACTTCCCTATAAAGTTCTCAAAGGGGTACTAACACGTCACGTGTAGTAAACAAATTTTTAATGCCATGAAAGAGAAGAATTTCATAGGATGGTTGGTTAGAATAATAAGAAGGTTGACGACTTTACACTGGAATCAAGGAAGAAAGCCTCCTAGCAAAAAATTAGTAACCACCATGAATTCCAGCTAAAAGTTTGAACAGATGTTTGAATCAAGATAGACAGTATGGTGAGAGATCATATACAAATTCTGAAGTGTTAATTCCAAAATGCTACAAATGCATGCATTCACTATGAAGCAGTACACCGAATTGAATTTTAGGATATCAAGAATTTCACTACGGTACTTAGTTGTCCCATTCGTACTCAAGCTCATATATTGACAGACGTGCAATTAACGATTATCTCCATTTGCGTTAAAACATGAGAATCAATTTCTCGAAGAATTGTAAAGCAGTAAACAAGCGTGAGTATGAGCTCGGTTAATGTTCGTCATGTGGTAAAATTCATTCATTTAGTTCGTGCGCATTTCGTCACACTATATGCTTCGAGTGTTGTGAAATGAGACATATCAAGTCGGTTTGTAGAATTACCGTTCATTACACTACCACTGAAAACGTACATTGTAATTCCGATCTTATCAATTCGCGCGGTCTTGATAGTCATATATTATCCTTACCTAAATCTTCCAGTAATTGAACTCATATCCAAAAACGATTATATTTGTTCAGTGGTAGTTTACACAGTTTTGTTGTTGACATTAACAGTATCAAATCCATCATTTGAATAATGTAATCTAGGGCGCGTTTCATCGGGTCTCGTTGATCTGTCTGTTTCAAGCTCAATCATCAGACCAAAGATATCGGTTTCTCTAATGGTCATAGTGTCCAGTGTGCGTGTGTGTGGGGAAAGTCGCGTAAAATAAAGAGAGCATCTCCAAGGTATAGACGTCGCTAAAGTAATTTGAGAATACCTAAGCTTCACAACAGTTGTCTCCTACTAATTACGTCGTATTGCTGTCTTCCCATGATGCTGGGATGTCGTCTATTTTCTTGGTCCTTTGTTTCGTGGATGAGTATTCCATAGACTCTTTAATAAGCCTTCCTCATACAATCTTCTAAACCTGAGGAGGTTTGAGACAAATATTTCGAGTTCCCAGATATCAACATTTTGTCCCGATAGTACTCAGTAGTCTAGATTTCTCCCACAGCTTTTTTCTCTCATAAAGTCTCTCTAGTGAAAAAGGGATTAAATTTCTTTACAGAACGTCAGTGATGAGTTTCTGGGACTCTTCGCGGTAGCCCGAAAAATGTGGGATGCAGTAACTTGTATGTACAAACTTCTGAATGCCCCCCATACCGTTCAAATTAGGAATTCTTGATCTGTTGTCCGACCTACTGAGGAGGCTGAATATATGATTTTCTTGTGTATTTTCTTCCAAGATGTCTTGTCTGATTTGTGTTGGCACGTTTTCGTTGATAACGAAATCGGAATCAAAGGTCAGAATTTTGATTTCACTCTTAGTTTTGGGTGACATATGGTGAAGGGTTGTTACATCGCCTTTATAATGGTTCCATGTGAAAAATATTAAGGATGATCCGTTGTTCGGGTCGTACCTGGTCACCTGTTTCACACGTTGTACTATAGCACATGAGATAACCGCATCGACCAGTTTCTGTTGGAATTTTGTCACACTCCAGTCTCCTAGATTATTAAAATCTACCATATGTTGGTTTAAGTCTCACTAAGATTATGTATCAACTCCGCCTGTAGCTCTTATACAGCTACTGCCAGTCCCAAGTCCGGGTAGAGAAGGAGGGTTGGGCATGTGATCGACAAAGCCGTCCCGTAGAAAACGATGATGGAGACCAGGTTTATGAGAGGCTGCTTTCGACTGTAGGGAAGTGACCAGGAAAAGACATGGCTATTCTGATGAGAGACCTAAACGCCAAAGTCAGAGTAGACAACACTGGGTATAAAGATATCGTGGGACAACATGAACTGACCAGGAGAAAGGAATGAGAATGGCGAGAGATTTGGAAATCTATGTGTATTCAACAAAATGGTTATAGGTGGCACTATTTCCCGCACAAACACTAACACATAGCTACGCGGGTTTCACTGGATCACACTACGCGGAACCAGACAGATCATGTCTGTATCACTGAAAAACTCAGAAGGTCAGTGGGAGAGATGAGGACCGAGAGAGGAGCTGAAATAGCTTCGGATCACTGTCTGGTAGTTGTCAAGAATAAACTAAAGATAAACAAGCACTGGACAACTGGAGAAACAACAACAAAACGGATTTCTCTAGTTCAAACGAGCTAAGCCAGAACAAGTAGTAAACGTACATGTATGATTGTTTTTAATGTACTGACTTGGAGAAAGTCAAGAGCTGTCAAGACGATCCGCAAAGGAAAGTAAATAGACAAAATGACACTGTGGAGCATCAACTTGAACCTAACAAGAGAAGTAAAAGTATTGGTTTCAAACAGATTTGAATCTTCTGCGACTAAGTGGAATTTTAGTATCAAAGCAATTAAAAGTCTGAAGAAACTAAAATGTAAACGGTACGCTAGCTCTTATTCCTTCTATATTTCAAAGATAACAACTCCGAGTGTTCCCTACATGTGTTCACTCGGTTTCGAAATTTGTATCTTGTACTGAGCCGACATACAGTCAAACTTGGGTAACAGACGTAAGTATACCCAAACGCAAACATGAGGTTTATAGCACCATTTGACTTTCAAATAATCCTAAGGTCATTCACAACGTTCAATATCACTCAACTTGGCTTCTTATTGCTAGAGATAAGTATAAGTAATTCCGGTAGGTTTATCAGTGTAATACGATAAGCTCTGACCTTAAATTAAAATAAATATCTGGCCCTACATATCTTTCTCACAAAGAGTATTGAAAGCCACTCGAAGTAGAACTGGACTATATCAAACACTTAGCTAATCTATCTACTTTGTATGAAGAAACCTAACATACCAATCATAACCGATAACTCGTGATTGGTCAGGCAGTTGCTTCGCAATCGTTTATGCTCAGACTCAGGATGTTCTTCAATTGTTCTCGGAGTCCCTGAAATTAAAAATGTGGCCAATGATGATATAAACCATTGGTCGTTTACTTCAGAGTGGCCGAATATAATCAGTGTTCATTACAATCTTATAACGGGACGCCTCCACCTCAATAACTTATTTTATCACTCATTCCTAAGTAACTACATGGTACTGTAAACCTGCCTGATATGGTAACTTTTGCTGCAGAATCCTAGGCTAACTGGTCTCGCTCTTCCAAAAGAGGGATTAGGATCTGTGAAAGTAAACCTGGACCAATCAGGCAAATAGATAGTAATCTAAGACAGGCTCCGTCAGACACTCTGCAACTGATTATCAGGCAGTTCAATGATGAGGGGTCACATCTATACTTAACTACTTTTAATGATTTAGTTACGTGGTGATTCAATCAGTTCAGTCACATGCCATTATTAAATTTAACCAAATGTCGATCTAAAGGCTGGCTTATGACCTAATAACATCTTCATCATTATGTGTCAAAAAGCACAACAAACGACTGCTGATCTTCTACCTCCTGTAAAATAGCACTAGCGATGAACGGCCGGTTGATGTTTTCCTGCTGTTTTGAATTAACACATCCGACACTAGTTGACCGACTAGTGCTTTGCTCATCCGCCTCCTTCATAAATCACAGAATATCTTTTCCCAGGATGTCACATTCGGGCATGTTGGTGCTGTGTGAATAGTAATTAAGACTATGAGCTGCCTAGAACTCCTGACTCCCAAAACAGCTCACTTCCACAGGCTGTATGTAAGATACTACTGTGGGGCGATCTCAACGTTACTAATATCTTTTAAGATAGTGATTTCGATGTAAACACTGAAATTATAAACTTAACAGAAGATTCAAATCTACCTGAAGACGTTACTTGATATACACAATCCTCAACGCACATTTAATTTTTCAGCTTCTCCTGCAGTGACAGCTACTAGGCAAATCAACTAATTAATGAGTGAATATCTCGGTTTGGAAGGATACAGGGAAATACGATACTCAACTCTTTCTTGGCCCACCTGGTTGACAGTCGTCATATGTAAATAAAACCGATTCGTAGAAAGTAATCTTTTGCTTACCTCAGCCACTTTTAAAAGTATTTCAATTCTATCCCCAACATGAAGCGGAACCTATAAGGACTCGAAATAATAACTTTAGTTTTGATGCTTAGTTGGGATTTGTGACAACCCTATCCCGGCCTTGGTTGGATGTGGACGATAAAATTAACTTTTCACGTCTCGCATCTGTTTA